ATAGGCATCGAAAATACTACACAATGAAAATACTTCTTTCTTCAAATACGGTCTTCATCACAGATATCTCCTTCCTCAAACTGAGGTTGTAGTGGCACCTGACCCAGAACATAAAACAGTAGAGAAGATACATTTTGCCTCATTTTTCATAAGGACTGTGTTCTTTTTCCACAAACCTCCAAGCAACATTAACAACTGGACGCTGAGGCCCGAAACCACAAGAATTGTATGTCCCCATAACTTATCTTAAAGGGCTCTTTGTCTAATGTTTTCCCATATTTCTGGTAACCATCGGGCGGAATGGAGCCTTCACAATCTTAGGTACTTGTACTTATCAAAATAGCACTCTAAGTCACATGGGCATAAAATGCGTGTTAATCTAAATTCGGCCAAGGACTCATCACTGCTCACCTTTCTCTGCGTACTCTTTATTGGGAAGAATCCCTGTATCACTATCCGACTCCTCTATTATCAGTCACAACATTCGTCAAAAGCCGAAAAAAATTTTGACAGATTCCGAATCCCGTATCTTCATATCACACATCGCTGGGCAGCACCTCCACCTAAGGTTCAGGTTTAATGCTGCCGGACAGCAGAATAGTCTACTCAATTCACGATTCATCCACCATATAATCAATGAATTATCCCCCATTATACGTCATATTATCAACAATCAGGGAGAAAACTGAGGATTCCCTGTTGACAACACGGCCTGTATACCAAGAAGAGTCCTAAGACCTTCAATATCCGTTATTAGATAAGTTTTCAAATCAAATTTTATCCGGGATAAATTTCTGTTCCGATATTTCCCGAAGAAATTAGTATTCAAAGTTTTACCTGACTTGTTTTTTACCAATTTACCAACGAGGGGTTTATATTTCTTTCTCCAAACAACGACGGATTTTAACGCGTTTTTGTCCGAAGACTTTTTCTCTTTCTTACCGGTAATTTCTTGGTCCGAAAACCCAGAAAAATCTCCCTCCCTACCCGAAGCATGAAGGTCTATCCTATCGAGAAAGAGCCTCTTGGGCCATAATAATGCGGGTTAACCGCAAATAAACTTTTAAAATAACTAAAAACTTTCAAAAACAGCGACAACCACAACGCCCAAAACAAAAAGTGAAACATGTGTTTCATGCTTCGGTTATTACTTCCGGTAGTCACGCGCATGTCCGTGATATAGGGGAAATTTAAACCCTTTGAATACGCGACTTAAACCATAAATTTCAAAATGAAATGCTTATTTTGTACATGTGAAGCCGAAGGCTTGATGAAAAATAATGGTGAAAATACTTGAAATTACTCTAAATTGCGTTTTTCCAATGTTTAAACAGGGCCTGTAATATAAGATTTGGGAAGAAAAATTGTTGTTTTGTAAATTTTTTTATTTTTTTCCCATTAACCCCATTACTTCATGAGCATTTTGTGAAAAATGGCTGTTTTCATTGAAAAAGTCTCCCGTTACAAGGTTCAAATTGCTATAATACTATAAAAAACTGCTTCAACACTAAATCAAACTTGGCACAAATGTTGATGGCCATTGCCCCCTTGCAACCCAACAATGCTCAGGCTTAAATTTTCTGTTACCATGGCAACGAGGGGACATCTCAAAATTGCCAAAAATCACTATTTTGCGTTGATTTTTTCCATCATAATTGATTTCAAAGTGCTGCAACTTCTCAATGGATTGAGATAGAGTCAAATGCTTTTCAGCGTTGGTTACACGTTACCTTATGATCAATCTGGGGTCATTTATAGCCTCTCACAAGTCCAAAATTTCCTTTGTCCTTGTGACCCTAAAATCAATAGAGGTCTTCTACTCAATATGGACAATCATCCTATGAAGTTTGAACATTGTGGGCCAAATGGAACTTAAGTTTTGCTCCGGAAACCAAATTGCTAACGGACGGAACTGTTTTCAGTTTTCAGGTAATAGTAACCTTGACCTTTGGAGTCTTTGGATTCTATCAATTGAGGAGCTTAAACCATGGTCAGCAACATTAATGACCATGGTCACACCATGGTCAGAAACCATGTTTGCAGCCATTTAACATAACACGGTCAACCATGGCTAACCATGACCTGTGAGCCATGTTTGTTCATGTTATTTCATGATAAAGCATAATACATTTCACCTGGGCATCCAGCTAGCTTGCAGAACGTCGGTGGTTCTACACAGGTACCCGTTTGTGTCTGAAATAATGCACGGAAGGGCATCATAGATCTTCCTCCACCAGTTTAGCTGGAAAGTTGCCATAATGACCTATACTGAGTTGGTGCGACGTTAAACTCACCAAAAAATACTTTTTAAAAAGAGCAGGACAAGATCAGCCAGCTAATCTGTGCCATCTGATCATGGTCAAAGCACTGTTCACTTTTCAGCCGATACTTATTTTGAAATTTTTCTTAAAAATGATAAATTGTTTTGTATAGACTGAATGATGGACAAGTAAATGTTAAAGATTTTGCATTTAAGGCAAAGTCTGAGATAGAAATAAAGTAGGGGTAATGGTGAAATAATTATTATATAATTATCTTTAATATTGGTAGCAGTAAATTGATAGCTATAAACTTAGACATGACATACAATCATAAAAAAAAATGTCTCACAAAATTTTCAATTATTGAGGTACAAAACCAGTATAATATGACTATTCTTTCCATTTGGTTTTAGATTTAATAATTTCAACTTCATTTTACAAGAAAGAGGTATATACATGTACTAAAAAGGAGTCCATTGTATTTGTTTAGTGCATTACAATATATATATACTATATGAGAATTCAAATTCGAAATTTATTCGAATGTCCTCAATAATTAATACATGCTGCATTCATACAAAATTAAAGTTAATAAAATCACTAGACAGTAGCAAATAATGTAGCAATTCTTACTTTAGCACTCAAGGAGAATTATATAACAAAATAATAAAGGTGAATTATATAACAAAATAATAAAATATCATGGCCATAAAACATTTCCATTCATATTTTTAATTTTTACTTTTTTAATTAATTTCTTTCCCCCAAAAAATATCATCAGCAGTAAAGGAATGCTGAAATTTTATCCCATTTTTTTTTAAATAGCTTTTTTATTTAGAAGAGGTATTCTTATCTTATTATTATAATCATTGTGTTGTCATGCTGTATATTGAAAAAAACAACAACAACAAAGCTCTGTTTTCTTATATTGAAATAATTACAAAGCAAGTCAAATCCTTGTATCCACCCTAAATATGTATAATGGACTTGCTTTGGATTTGGAACTGTCCATTTTTTATATCAAAATGCTGAAAAAAAGGAGCTAACGGTATAGATGTTAGACTGTACAGATGTACTTAGGCGTGCCAGGCTCATTTTATTGGTGGCTTATATTTAAGTTATAAATTCATAGAGGATATTTTTTTCATCGAGTGGTATGAAAATAAATATTTCATGAGTGGCGGTAGCCACAAGTGAAAAATGGTAATTTTCATGCCACAAGATAAAAATAAATCATGTATTTATAGAAAAAACTTGAATTTTCTGTTTATTATATACATTTTTCTCTTTCAGGACATTAAAATTTGCAAGACTTTCCCTTAAATTTTGAGTACTGGCAGAATTTAAAAGAAAGTAGTCCGGCAAGACACCAGCGGAAATACGGAAAATATGTTTCACTATATATATATGCATGCAGTGAAAAATAAATTTTTACAGTGAAAATACAGAAAATGAAAATACGCATTTTATTTCATCAATATTTCTCAATATTTTATTTAAAAGTATATAATAAAAATTAATACGGTACTCTCACTAACAAACAGATTATAAAATAAATTGTTACTGCCTTTAAGGGTCTTAATCAGAGAAAGTTAAGATAAATTTCTTAATATTCAAATTGCCTGATAAGTATTTATTGCAGTAATTTATTGCAGTTGTTACATGTACCCTAACTTTAAATGAAACTAAAATAAATAATACATTTTTTCTTTAATGAAATTAAAATAAACAATACAGGAGTTTTTTATATTGAAAAATGAAATTAGTTCTTAAGTGTAACCATATTTATATCAACTTGATTATGAAGAAAGCTTGAAGAATTAATTTTACTTGAACAAGTTTTGTGTCTGCTTCAAAGAACTTAAACCAGTACTGGTGTTGTATAAAGAAACAAGAAAATTCATCTTAAAACTTGATATGTATAATCTTTAGATGTAAACATATAAGTACAAAATTAATGTACTTGACTAAATTCTAACATGTGAAAAACCTTATTGTGCATCTTCTAATGTGTCTACCGCTGAAAAGCTTTCAAAAAATTAAAAAAAAGAGATTTATTGGTAATGTAAATCTATATTTATTGAAACACTAATATTGCCATGTAAGCCAATTCATCAAAATTGCACCGATTTACAGAGAAATAAATCATTATTATTTCATCATCACGTGAGAAAAATAAAACTGTGTGCATGCTTGGCTGAAAATAATGGCAAAATGTTGTTATAACATGGATTTTTTATGTTACAAAATAAGAGGTGAATAAGTATAAAGAGAACTTTACTTTTGTGAATACATACACAGATATCCTAGGGGGATTAGTCAACAGAAAAATTACAAATTGTAAATTTCATCAGGAGCAGTTCCAGGATTTCTGTTGTTTTTTTGTTTTTTTTTTGGGGGGGGGGGGTGTGGGGGTGGGGATGGGGAGCTTGGTAGCCCCACTTGCAGAAGTTAAGGGGGTATAGCTATATGGATTTTTTACTCATTCAAGGTTGTTTCAATTATGAAATCTCAGTCAATATAATGTCACCAAAATTAGGTTTAATATGGAACTGGACTTTAAGAAAGGGGTGCACATGCCCCCATGTAAATTGATAAGACTTGTGTATATGCAAATCCTCTTGGGATTTGAACCTACAGCTGTGAGGGGCAAGTGGTTTCGAGGCAACAACCTTAATTGCTCAGCTACAGAAACTCCCAAATATTAGCAATAAAATGTTATAAAATTAAAATACTCACAGCAATCATCTGAAGCTCTTTAACAAAGGAAACAATATTCTCACATTGTCTCAATCTCTGAAATATAATTAACATTATGCTCATTTATTAACCCTCACTATGCAAAATATCTTATATTGAGTTGTCCATCTTTCAATCTGGACAAGACCTTCATTATTTGTAGGGAAGATTTCAAAGAATGTACTGAATGAATGGCGAACAGTTCAGACCATGATCAGATGACATGTACGTAGGTCTAACAATGGCCTGCATGGATAGAATCTGTTGCTACCAGCAAACTTACAGTTACGATATTCTGCTATCAATTTAGTCAATTTATCAAATTGTCATTCTTCCGAGATAAACCAAAATCAAGTTCTAAATAAATAAACAATTTAGTAAGTTATTAGGTCAAGACAAAACTCATATATTACTAATTCATGAAAATTCATAATACGAAAAGAAGAAAAAAAGTACTCACAAATTTCTTCTAAAATCCATCTTTGGATGTTCTTCACATTATTTACTTAATGACACAAACACATAATTTAATTAAACAGTAGTTTACTATCCAAATTGCTTGATAACTTATACCAGCTTGTTGGATATCAATTGCCCAAAAATCAAAATGCAAAATTTCCTGCAATATAAAAGTTAAAGTTTGTTTTGGGGTTCATACCTGGGAAATAACTGTCTTAAAGTCCTTTAAGATCCTATGTAACCTCCAATCACAGTTCACCGTGGCCTCCGAAAGTCTCCTTGAGGGTGGTACCTTAATCTCAAGTCTGTATATCTCTTTCTACAATGTTATAAACTTTTTTTGATAATTTATGATCATAAATATTATTCTTATATATTATTCAAAATATACCAACCCCTATTCTTTCCCTACTTTCCATTTTCAAGAGGAGCATTCAATATGTATTACATTAAAAATACTGTTGTGAATTATATTATATTATATTATAAAGTTCAAAAGAATTGCATTTTTCTCAGAGGCAAACCATACAAACATTTCTTTTATTGTAAATACAGAATACTATTATGTTTATATAATTATGAATACTTTGCATTTTTAGATTTAAATTATTTTCTGATAAAAAAAGCTGGATTTTATTAACTGATGTTTAGAAATTTAGCTATGCAAACTGTAAAAAAAAAATGAAAACAAAAATCATTTTTGACATGTAGTAGTTGAAATTTCTTTACATACTTTATTAGATAATAAAAAAAATCCTTAATTTCAATGAGTCTGTAGAAGAGAAAGATTTGTACATGTTACAAAACATAGATATATTTAAAAGTACATTGACTGAGTTTATTTTTAATTATTTTGAGGTTAATCACATATCCTGTAACTAAGGCCAGGCCCCCACGGTTACACGTTTAAACGGATCCGTTTCGATTTTCATTCATAAACGTTTACGATATTTTTTACTGTTTAATAGAAATGACCATATTGTCATATAAAATATCTTAATCATTGCCTGTTATCATGGATTTTATCAATTCTAATCGGTTTATTCCAAAGTCAAAAACGGAAAATGGGTGTTCACAACCTTCCATACAGCATTGCCGTGCAATAATCGTTCGTGACATAATGCATGTTTTGTAAAGTTGATTTTTCTTTGATCTTTCAAAAGAGAGAAATGGGGATACAATGCAGAAAATGTGTGCAGACAGTGATGAGCCCTGAACATTATTTATTTGTTTATTTGTACATGTATTAAAAATAGAAAGTAAGTGATCATCTGGCAACTCGAATACATGGTAGAAGTTCCACCGTTTAAACGGTATCGTTTCGGTTCTTGACAATCGTGTAAACGTTTACAAAAAATTGTAAACGTGGGAGCCTTACCTGTAACATGTATAATATCAACATCAAATGAGTTTAAATTATCAGTGTAAACAGCCACTAGACTGTTTTATTTGTTTTATGTAAGCTAGAATTTATAAGATCTTAATAAGGGTTGTCATGAATGATGTTCAAAGATGGTTTGTTTTTAATTTGAAATGTCATTTGTATTTTAAAAAGTTTTCGGGTGCCCCAAAGAAGGGTTTTTGGAGAATTAAATTTAATTTGGTTAAAAACTGAAATTAAAATGTTGCCCTTTTAATGATATCTTTTTTGTTTTTCTTATAAAAAAATTGTCAAAAGGAAGTTAATAATTTTGATAAACTTGAATTAAATTGTCTTTGATTTTTAAACTTTAGGTCACTCAAAAAGAAAAACAATGCTTGGTTTTTTGATTGTTTTTTTTTAAAACCCCTTTTCCAACAACCAGTTAAATTTCAGTCCATAATAGGCGGGTAGGTTTCCTAACCATCATTCCTGGGAGAGTTACACCAGTACTAGACTACCTCCACACTTAAACTGTTACCCAAAAGCATCTCCCTGGGATCGAACCCACGCCAGAGAGGTTTAACTGGATTAGAATCATTGACTCTTAACCCCTCGACCATTTGAGGCGGTGCATGCAATGATTAAATTTCATGCATAACTAAACTATTCGCTGAATGCGATTCATACCCCCAACCCAATGTCCTTGACCAGAAACAACTTGGGGAAAGGTGGTTAAGGGAATAACTTAAGTGACGAACAAAATACATTAAAAAGAAATTATATCTGGTGAAAAAAAGACTAATTGTAGCAAGGTAATAGTAAAAATCTCTATTATCAAATCATGTTCGAAACATTTACCAAATTAACCTTTTTCATTTTCCCCCAAATACTAAAACCTTTTTATAAAACAAGTCAATTTTTGACCTTCAAAGTGTGGCCTTGACCTTTACAGCTGGCACAAGGGTAAGATGGCGTTCTGCCACATCGCCCAATTGAGTGAACATTTGAGTAAAGTTTAGAAGAAAATCCTTCCATTAAAGTATAGAATTTATAGAGCGGGACAACAACATATTGTTCTAGTATTTGATTGTAAATGTAAATTAAAAACTTAAAAAGGGCATAACTTTGTCAAAATCCAATTCAGAGTTATGAAACTTGACCTGCATTATGTAAATTGGTGACACCTCATATATCTTTTAAGTTTCAAGCAAAAATACCTATGCTAGTTTCCGAAATATTTTTCAAGAACATGTTTCTTAATCTAAGAACATTTTCTAAAGTCAATTTTTGACCTTCCAAGTGCTGGACCTTGACCTTTAGTTCTACAACAAAGGGTGACAATAATTTGCACATAACCTTGTTAAGGTGAACATTTAGAAAAAAGTTTGAAGAAAATCTCCGCATTAAGTATAGGATTTTAAGAGCGGACACAAACATATTGTCTAATATGTGATTGTATTGTAAATTTGAAGATTAAAAAGGGGCATAACTTTGTTTAAAATGCAATACAGAGTTTATGAAACTTGACCAGCATATCTTAATTTTGACAACTTCATTTATATTTTAAAGTTTTTCAAGCAAATACCTTTCCTAGGATTCAGAAATAATTCAGATATATGTTAAAATTAAAGGGAACATTTTCTAAGTCAATTTTGAAACCTTCAAGTGTGACCTTGGACCTGAAGCCGGCAAAAGAGTGAACATGGGTTCTGCACATGAACCTTGTTGGGAGGTGAACATTTGAGGCCAAAAGTTTGAAGAAAAATCTTTCCATTAAGTGTAAGGACTTACCAGAAGCGGACAACGACATACGGTGTAAATTTGATTGTTTGATATTTGACCTTGCAAATTGTGAACCTTGACCTTTGAGCTGGACACCATGAGCAACATGGGTTCTGCAAACCATCCCATTGTTGAAATGAACATGTGAGCCCAAGTTTGAAGAAAATTCTTTCAATTAAAGTGTAGGGACTTACAAGAGCGGACATGCATATTGTGTAATATTTGAATTGTTTGATATTTGACCTTCAATTGTGGCCCCTTGACCTTAAAATGACACATGGGCAACATGAGTTGTCACATTCCCCTTGTTTGAGGTGAACATTTAAGCCAAGGGTTTGAAGAAAAATCTTTCAATTATTGTAGGGGCCCACAGAAGGCGGGACACGACATACTGTCTAATATAATGATTGTGGTTTGATATTTGAACCTTCAATTTGTGACCTTGACCTTGAGCCTGACACATGGACAACATGGGTTTTGCACAATCCCCTTGCTGAGGTTTAACCATTTTTGAGCCAAGTTTTTGAAGAAAAATCCTTCCCAAGTGGTTATAGGAGTTATAGACGGACACGAAAATGGAGACGGACGGACGGACCGACCCGACCGACTGACGACCGACCGACCGACGCGAAAAAGCCGAATCCATTATAGCCCCCCCCACATTTTGTGGTGGGGGTATAATAAAATGCAAGGAGTACATGTATAAACCCATAATTATATAACTTACACATATATTGATGTAGCCATCATAATGCAGATGATTTAAGTCTTGTACAATAAGGCATGGAAACTCTGACAACATTTCCATTCTGTATATATTTTATACTTCCTCCATCATCTGTTGACTGAAATAAACATATGTTTTAAGGGACAGGTTATTAAAGGGCTGGAGAATCAGATGTCTAAATATTTTGAATGCAAGACCGACCGATTTTATAATCTGATTTTTCATAGATGTCTGTCAAAGGGTGACCATCGTCTATATAATAAAAAGCCCTAAAGCGCACAATTGGGTTGGGTAGAGAATCAGAACAATTAGCTAATGTAAAATAAAAACTTCAAGACAAACAGCCTCTATTACATGTACACACAGTAATTTGGGTTGTTGGAGCTCGCTCTTCCCAATGTTAAAATTCAAATAAAAATGTCAATTCTTCCTTAGCAACCAATACTTATCATGTATCTTTGTCAAAAAAATAAATAAGCGTTTTTGATTTTTTAAAAACAGTAAACTGTACAGTATAATTTTAAGTTTTTAAGGCGTTTTTAAACTGGGAGCCCTACCACACCCCAAGTGTCTGTGAAAGCTACACATGCATGCCCAGAAGCAACCTCTAAAAAGCAAATGATTGTCAGTTTAATGATAAAATAAATGCTTTAGAGCATTGGATCAATTTTCTGGTTCGGATTTACAAAGGATGACTTTAAAACAAATTTTAACAGATTACAGGTTTAATGCTTCTTGCAAGTTTATAAAATTAATCGGTTCGATAGGAAGCTTACCGTGGTACCTGGGTTATCACACGCTGGACTATTTGCAAGTATAAAATTACTGAATTAAATTAGCATTGATTTTTAATGCTTATTATAAACTGGTCCCAATTTCCATAATTGCAGGAGAAATTGTTATTTTAATAATCTAAGAACAACAAAAACCAAAATTTGTTTGTCGCGCCTTTCGGTTTTAATCGACTTTCGGGTTATGAACCCGGAAGTTTTACAAATGTTACTGGTTATCTAAACGCTTTTCTGAGACACCAAACCTTCCATTATACAAATATCATTTTACCCAAGCTCTGAAAGGAAATAACATCTGACCTTTCAGCCCCACGGATGGGTTGTTCACCGTGAAACTTTAAAGTGTAAAAATAATTAAACACGTTCATGGTCTGCAGTAAAAAGTATTTGGAAATCGTTGAAAAGTTGGTTTGAATTAAATAATTTTTCGAAAACAATTTACGGATGAATGACATTTCGGGAAAATTAAGTCAAGATCGAGATCTTGAACTTGAGGCAAAATTAAAAGCTTTAACGACAGGGAAAACAAATTCGTTTGATTTTGAAGGTGAGACAAAAATGTCAAAAATAAAGAAGAAAGTTGAAGAGGAGGCAAAATATGAAAGTTCTGTGACTGAAATTTCTCAGCATTATAAAGCTGTTTTGGGTGCTCTTGGTGAAGATACAGAAAGGCAAGGGTTACAAAAGACACCAGAGCGAGCTGCCAAAGCTATGATGTTCTTTACAAAAGGATATAGAGAAAGTATTGCAGGTAAGATTGTATTTATAATATCATAAACATTTCACTTTCAGATGTTGTTATAGCAACAGTGTAGTTTTTCTTTATTTTTGTTTTTCACAGTTTGGTGTAAATGATTTATTTGACAAGCATTATATAGGATGATATACTTTAACCTGGGAATTAATAGATTCTATCCTTATCTATAGTTACATGTATATCATGTCCCAGATTTGACATTTAAGTCCTATAAAAAATAAAAAAAGGCTTTAAAAAGCAACGGGTTCTTCCTACAAAAATTCAATTAGACTTCTGTTTAAAAGTTTTAAAAAAAAACAATCCAGAAAACTTAAAATTATTTTTTTAGCAGAAATTGAGGAGAGGGGGAATAAGGGGATAAGGGGTTTGAAATAAAAAGTCAGTATAATTATAGGACAAAAATTTGAAGACATTAAAATTGGTAAAGACAATTTAATGAGATTTTCCGCATGTTCAATTTTGCTAAATTATGTATATGTCTAAATTTTTAGTGTTTAAATTGAGAAAATTTTTTGAGTTGTTAAATCAAATTTTTAGGTGCTATGCTATTTTGGTAACACCTAATATTTACTAAAACGTGTAAAGTAAAATTAGTACATAGGGAAATATTTTGATTTTTAAAATTTTTCAGTCCCAATAGTTATAACAAATTTCAAAATCTTAAAAATTGCATTTGTGGGGATAAATTAAATGTGGGGATTTAATTTTAAGCCCTTCCCGATAATACTGTTACAAATTCTATTATTTGCTCAAATTTTTGGGATCACAATAGCAAATTTTTTTGTTGTTTTTAAGTGGTTTGCTTATTTTTCTATTTTAAGGGAGTAATAAAAAATAAAAACCTAAGAAAATAGTTAAGGTTTTGAAATTTTTTGCTTTTTTATTCAAAATTTCAATTGAAATTAATGAATATTACACATTTCTTACAAAAACTAAATTATTAACTGTACTCCACTGAGTGTTAAAAGATGAAAAGCATTAAAATTTTAATTCTCAGTTCAGGACATCTGCAAAAAGGAAAGATTTGTGTTTTCGGTTTATTTTAGCTCGGCGCCGGGGAAATTCCCATATTCCGAGATCTCAGCGTCCAAATGCCGGTCCACTCTAGTAGTCTCTCATCGGGGAGTCTTTTTCATGCCGATCTTCCTAAGTCCTGTTCTTCGTTCGGGTGGAGGAAAGACAATACCGGAAAAGCATCAAGTTCCGTGACGGCTGCAAAAAAGGCGGTTGACATAAAAACGGCTCTTGTTTTAGCGCCACCCTCCAGAGTTATCACGACAGGTCAACCAATACACCTCTGGTACTTAAGATGACTTGACCTTGACCTGCCGTTCCCTTCTCCGCGACGTGCACGCCTCTGGAGGGATTTGGAGAAGTGAAAAAAAAGGAAAGAAAAATATAATGCAAAATATAAAGAAGTATACTAAGAATTGAATAGAAAATCAATATTTAGTGCAATTGTTCAGAATCAACCCAGTTTGTATTAATTTTCATTTTTAGATAATTTTGCCCAATAAAAATCATTATTCTAGAAAAAACGTTGTTGGCAAATTAACACAAATTTTGCACTATAAAATTTTTTTTTTTGGAAATCCCATTGATCAATGATCATGTCAAAAAAAAACTTCAGTGAAGTCCATTTAAATTTGATTTTTTAAAGAATTATTTTACTCATCTATGGGTGTGTCACATTGAATACTACTTTAATAAAATTCATGGAAAGATATAAGTGTTTTGAAGTGTTTAACAAAGCCTTAGTGTTTTTTTGTTATATACAAGTATTCTTATCATTTTATATACTGTATATACAGAGATTTTTGTTGTATTTCATTGACTTTCTTGCATTAGTAAAAGAAAGTTTTGATGATTGTTATGAACACAAGACTCCCATTAAATTGTTTTAGATTAAAGAGGACCATGCAGTGTTTAAAGATGCATGCCTCCAGATGAGCCAAAATACCGTATTTCAAGAAAGTCAAATTTGAGAAAAATGAACTTTTAAGAAAAGTTAAGAGTCAAGATTCATGTAATAATTTACATGTTATGTGTGAGTAATTACTTATTTTGCAGTATTTATCACCTTATTTCTACAGCATAAGGACTATTTTTGCATAATTTGACCTTTTTGAAGATTGAAGAATCTATTATTAAGAAAGTAATATTTTGACTTATTTTGCAGTATTTATTACTGTATTTCTACTTTGTTCCTTACACAGTGATGGGTATTTGTACATATGTTGACCTCTTTTTTGTAATTTACATAGATTCCAAGTGCTGTTTGCAATGTGTAAATCAACTTTCGTTGTTCATTTCACAACGTTTTACTTTTAAATACATTTTCAAAATTTTCATAAAAATTAGCATCAGTCTTTAAATATAATAGGGTATATTATTCTTGAGTAATATGTGTATTTATAGTTATCAATGTTTGAATATTTATTAATACGCATATTACTGGGAGATGATGCTGTTTTTAGTTCATCCAGGGCATTTTTTTAACCCCAATATGTACATGTAGTAACTACCATTCCCTGTGTCAAAGCAATGTTCTTGAGAAAGATTTTTTGTTCAAAAGGAACACCCTTGAAGATAATACTTTTATACAGTAGATACAAAGACTATAATCATAAGAAAACATTCTTTATTCATTTAGATTCTATTATATATAGCTATCATAAAGTTCCTTATATAGTTCTTTAGGACAATTTTTTGGCCAGATTCAAATGGTGTTGGTCACCACTCATTCCTAAAATGTTGAAAGTAAGGCCTGCATCCAATTACTATTTAAAAAATGTTGATGTTTTATTGTTATTCAAAATAGTTAATAAATAAAATGCTCATTCAATTAGATAGGTAAGCTTTTCAACTTGTTTCACTCAGTTACTGTTAAAAATAGTTTATCATAATCATATTTGTTTTAAAAAGATCAGCTGTGAGGGAAATGCATTTAGTTAGCATTTATTACTTTCTATTTTTCCTTTACAACAATAGATGTTATCAGGAACTCTGCAAATATGTTTTATTTGCCAATCTAATGGTACTACAAACAAACTATAACTGTTATAGCTAATTAAGTCACAGTGCTCTGTTCACAATAGAGTGATCAACGCATTTACTAATACCCCGGTAAGCTAAAAACTAAACTAAACCATTCGGTTAGCTCAGTAGGTAGAGTGTTAGATTGTAAATCTGGCAACAAGGGTTCGATCCTAACTATGCAGGTTATTTTCTTTGTGATTGATCATTAAATCCTTTCTAAGGTCATTCACGCTGTACCATTGCTCTGGCATATACAGAAGTTATCAGTTACTTTTGAAAGTGAAGGCAACTAGTACTGGTTAAAGTACTGAACTGTGCTATGATGAATTCAGTATAAGTGGCTCAAATACTGCCGGGATGGTCATTAACATGCTAAACATACATCCTAATTATTATTCAAATATCAGCACATTTGCTCCAAGACAAAGTTTTAGCATTAGAAAAAATTCAGTTCATCGTTTGAAACATTATGTTAAGTATTTTTTCCAAAATAGTTCTGGGGATAGTTTATTTTATTCTCAATAAATTTGACACCTTATGTATTCATTATTATGTTTGACAAATTGAAATATCTTGTATAAATTTTCCTCTAAAATGTTCCCGGTTAGTGCAAATAAGGTCAATTTCTTACTAAAATGAGAAACATTTAACTGCTATTGACGTCAAGAATTCCTAAATATAAATGACTGGGACAACAATATGAAGGAGATAGCTCTCTGATTCCCATGAATAACAAAGTAATAATTGCAGCCAGCTCTAATCCAGTTTGTATCAATATCATCAAAATTCCATCAGCGGTCTTAACTTGAGATTTAGAGTGAGCAAATATAGGAGGTATTGTCGTTGTTGATATTTATTGGTGAAAGTCTTGTAATCAATAGTAATAAAGTGTTGAAAGGCGATTCTAACAAGTGCTCCCTTTTTAAATAAAACCTCTTTGAAGTAAGTGTGGGCGTCCACTTATCACTACCCAGGTTCCCAGAAATAGATAAAAATTGGTTTGTCCGTCTTTGTATAAAGGAGTATCAGTTCACAAGGTCCATTTATGTTGGAGTTAATTACTGGCTACATACTCCTAATGCTTTTGTCCTCGTCATTTATTACAGTTTTAATGGTATCACACTGTCTTTTGATTCCTCGTGAAAATCAATGAATAGATTGCTCTTAACCCTCACAATAAAAACCTTTTAGTTGATATTATAATTTTGTCAATTAATCAATGACCAGTAATATAAACTGTTCACAGAGCTACCGGGATATTCTAATAAATATGCAAATCTCTATTAAGGGTGGATTTTTCTCATGTGCATTAAACACATGGAAATCCTAATATCACATGGCTTGTTTTCCGGTACAGGAACAAGCTTGTTTCATCTTATTTTCAAATAAAGAAGGATACAATATCAAGGAGTGCTAAGTTATAAAAATACATTGAATATTGCTCAGTAAGGCCAAAAAAAGTTTTGTTTCTGGTCTTTGTCCTATATATCACCTATCTACTTCCTCTAAAAAAAACAAGAACAAGTTGTATAATTATATAAATGAAAAGGAATTTCTTTTCTTCTTTTTTTTACATCTGTAATTATGTGTAAAGAACAGATTTTGGGAAATAAAAATTTTATAATAAAAAAAGTGTTGAGGTGAGGGAGACCCGGACAGAACCATATTTCTTTTTTTTTGGCCTCATTGAATTCCCCTTCCCAATCATTGCCTTTTCCTGGTATATGAATGATTTTTGTTTCATCTTATTTTCTAAAAATTAAGGATAGACAAGTCAAGGAAATACTTAAAGTATAAAGTAAACTTAAGGCAAACAGGATAGGAAAATCTGGGAAAGCTATAATACAGATCAATTGTTTTTTGTTTTTTTTAACATCCATGATTTTAGATTGTTAATAACATTATTTAAGAATTATTACTCTGAACAAAGTGTGTCAAAAGAATTAGAGTATGAAACCTTAAACTTAAATAGCATTATTTAATCTGATTGGTAGTTTCTCCGTTTATATTTGAATTTAACCAATGTAAAAGCTCCTTTCTTAGTTTATATTTGAAATTGACCAATGTTAAAGCTCCTTTCTAGAAGCTTGATTGGTTTACAATTGGACATAGGTATTCATCTTATTGAATGTGATGTATGAAGGTCAAGTCCATTTAAGAAGTTTAAAAATATGGTTAAATATGAGTAGCCAATAATGTAGAGTCAGGACTTACAGTAAAGACTTGTTGAGACTATTATAGTCTATATGTTATAGCCTTCATAGTTTCAGTGCATTAATATAAAACCAGGTAATGGATTGGCCCAGCATTGAATTTGGAACAGTCCATTCAAGTTAAGTGTACTGGTATGCAGATGTAAAAATAAGCTACTTTAGAGCCTGGTCAGGTCTTGACTGCTCAAAAGCTGGCCTGCCTGAATACTGGGCCAAGACTAATCACTTTCGGTTCCAGTGGGATATTTATAGAGTTATTATATTTGAATATTTTTCAGATGTGCTGAATGATGCCATATTTGATGAAGACCATGATGAGATGGTTATAGTTAAAGATATAGAAATGTTCTCATTATGTGAACATCATTTGGTGCCTTTTATAGGAAAAGTAAGTATTTTCACTCTTGCAAAATTTTAGAATTAATTTAGGATGCCGCCATGAGAAAACAACCCTTAATATGTCATTTGTAAAATGATGTCAAAAGATATTAACCTTGTCATAAAAGGTGTTTAAAATAAAAAAGTGAATTACCTTTGAAATGTTAAAAATAGATATGAATAGGTAATGAGTTTTTGTATTTATTTTAAGGAATTGAATATCTTAAAGAATTCAAAATGTCAATTAAAAAAAAAAGTGAATGGCCCTAAAAGTGTGTTTTGTCATGCCAGTTATTACTATGTAATTAAAGTTATTGTAGATGTTAAATTTTAGAAATGATAAAATTAAAAATCATTTTGGAAGCTTTTAATTCTTAAAACCTGCTGTATATCTGAAATATACTTGTCTATTTTCCAATTTTTGGAACTGTTCATGATCAAATTTAAGGATATTAAGATGAAAATTTGACGTTGGTAAGTCAGCAGAGACTGCATCGAAATGCAGGCTGGCCTGGCTCAACACTTGTGGTAAAGGCTTATCACTTTCAGTTCCAACAGCTAGGTCATGGGTTTAAAAGACAAATTATATTATTAAATTATTATAGGGCTTGGAAAAAGATCTACTGATGTTAAATCAACTTACAATGAAATATTCATAATGTTTTTCATAGAAAACATAATGTTTTTCATGGAAAGAAAGGGAATTTAGATAATAATTTTAACGTTTGAAATAAATTTGTTTTCATATTATTGGGTTTAGAATTAAACTTTTCACAAGAGTTATATCATTGAAATACATAAAAGATCTTGGGTTTCAGTCATGCATTAATGGCTTTGTTAATTTATGATTATGTTGTTGCGACATTTAACAAAGTTAAGTTTAAACATTGTTTATTGAAGTGCATTTTCAAATGCATTTTTGATTGATATGAAACATGAGCAACTTTATGTTCAATAAACTTTTCTATAAATACATCTGCTGATGTTGCATCATTTTTCGATCATTGTCATTATGTACATGAACAAATTCATAACCTTGAAACTGAAACATTTATGCATTATAGTAAAGTTAAAGTAAATTTTTAGGAAAGTAAAATAAAAAGTAAAGTAAAAGGTATTTTTTAATGGCAAAATAAAAAGTTAAGTGAAGTAAGGTAAAGTAAAATTAAGTAAAAATTAAAGTAGAAGTAAAGTAAAGTTAAATAAAAAATAAAATATAAGTAAATTGAAGTAAGGTTAAGTTTAAGTAAAGTAAAAAGTCAAGTAAAGAAAAGTAAAATTAAGTTAAGTAAAAATTAATGTAGAAGTAAATTAAAGTAAGGTAAAGTAAAATGAAGTTGAAGTAAAGTAAAAAGTCAAGTAAGAAAAAGTTAAGTTAAGTAAAAACTTAATTTAAAGTAAAATGAAGTAAGGTAAAGTAAAAGTCAAGTAAAAAGTAAACTAAAAGTACAGAAAAGTAAAAAGTAATGTAAAGTAACATTAAGTAAGTAACATAAAGTAAAAAAGTAAAGTAAGCTATAGTTAAGTAAAAAATATAAATTAAAGTAATTAGATTTGTTATAACTGAATCCCAACTCTTTACAGTACCTTAGAAATTAATTAATTCAGAAATCATATAGCATGTGATTGTTTAAGATTATGATATGTTTTATAATTAATGTAGTAAATGATTTTTATTTAATTATAGGAAACCTAATCTAGCTATCACAATTAATAGAAAAAAAAGTTAATAAGTTAAATATCAAATTTAATTTTATAGCCATGCATGTAATTAAATTATAGAAAATAGAAACAGGCTGAATTTCAGTAACATAAGATTAATTTTGCAAGCACTAAAAGTGATTTTCAAGTAAATTTTATTAAGCTTCTATATCTAATTCATCACAGAGCTGTGTTTTCCAAAATGTCTATTAATTTTACAAAATGATTGTAAAATTTATGCCGCTAAAAAAAGATGTAAAACTAGAGGGTGAAAAAAATGGACTTGCAAATAATGCATATACTATATTTGAGGTAATATATAATATGTAACAATTCTTTAATTATCTGACTTTAAGTCATCTTGTTTTACCAACTTTTTCTTTAGGAATTCAGCAGAATACCACTGACACTGGTAATTAAGAGTCTTGAAAAAACCAGGTTTTAGAATAATGAAAAAAGATGCTAAGATTTCTGATTAGGACAGATCAGACAGTACTGTTATAAAATTTTAGTATAATATTGATTTTATGTTAATGTAACCTCTCAGATATTATAATGGACATTTTCTATTACTTTAAAGTTATAGAACAATCCTATTACAGTACAACTTCTGTAGATGAATACCCTTTTCGGTTACAAGATTTTGCTTGTAGCTAAAAGGTTAGTTTGTGTGCAGTGCAGTGTTAAAGTTAGTTTACCTAAGCCATTGGACAGATAACCATTTGGGTGGGCACATAAAGAAGTACGGTTTTTAAAGAGGTTAAATTCATTTTGAAGGCTTACTTTTGTGAAAAATTGGTACTACAGAGGGCCATTCTGCAGAAGTTGCACTGTATTTAAATTCCATATTGTACTTATAGTTATTCTGTTATAAGGTGATAAATTTAAATTAGAAATTTACATTTGTAACTTCTGAGAATCAATTGATATTTTAATTTGTTTCCTATTTCAGGTTTCCATAGGCTATTTACCAAACAAAAGAGTTTTAGGCCTTAGTAAATTAGCTAGGTAAGTAAAATCAGTGACAGATAAGAAATGTTCCTTGATTATTGTGTTCGAGATTAAATCAAATCAGATGTAAAGGGTCATAATTAATGAAGAGTCTATATGAATATAAACAAATAAAAGAATATCAAAGGACTAGGAGTACTTAAGGGTACTCAAGGCAAGACTATGACCAGAGCCATTGGGTAATTGAAATTTTATTATTTAGATATAAAAAGGAGAAATGATGACTATTAATAAAACTGCTGTCAAAATATATATGTATGCATTATTACATATGAACAAATGCTATCTGACTTAAAGAATTAGTTCTGTAAGTTGCTATATAAATTTTATAAAGATTATATGTTTGAAAATTCAGCATTATCCAGAAATAAGTATGTTTAATTTTTATTGCTCAAAGTCTAAATGATTCATTGACCCTTTTTTTGTGTGATGAAAGTACATGTAGACATACAGTATATAGAAATCAGTTTTGCAAAAAAATTGTACTATGGCTTGGTTGTCTGTATTAAAATGAAAAAGTCTGGTAACCATGTAATGTGACTGGATGAGATTTCATGTCATTTGTGTCTATTAAATGGTATTTTAACGAAACAGTGTTCCATGAGGTTGATCACTCTGTCTCTTCTTCATATAAAAGTAGGCAGAAATATCTTGTAGCAAAAAGATTGTTAAGAAGGAATGCTTGCTTTTTTTTAAAACTCTTAGAGCTGTAAAATGACTGATTATAAAGCTTAATATCAGGAACAAACTTCAAAGCACTGATTAATTAGTTTAATCTGAAATACAATAATATGCTGATAGCTTTTTGATTTGCATAGCCAACAGCATAATGTACTCATAATTGTTTTTACGAGCATTGTCTTTATCCAATAAACCAGAGAAATATTAAAAAATCTAGAAAAATACAGTCTATAGTACTTGTTCTGTCGAGCCTAGGTGACATATTGAGTGCTTGGAAATGCCAGACAACTGTTTCGTTGTTTTTGTTAGGGACATGTAAGACAAACAATCTTGGCAGCACATTAATATTCATGGGAATCTAATGCTGGGGATTTTCTATGTTTTTACTTGTCATTTTGTATCATTGATTAATTTAGAAATACAAATGAGCCGTGACATGACAAAACCAACATAATGGGTTTGCGACCAGCATGGATCCAGACCAGCCTGCGCATCCATGCAGTCTGATTAGGAGGTATGCTGTTCGCTTACCAACCCTATTACAAGTAGAGACACTCATAGCGAACAGCATGGATCCTGATCAAACTGCGCGGATGCGCAGGCTGGTCAGGATCCATGCTGGTCACAAACGCACTATGTTGGTTTTGTCGTGACGCGGCTCAAATCACAGTGGCTGATTTTATCACAGATTGCTTTTACAAATAAGGTAAATAGATTAATAGTTTGCTGCCTTCTCTCATTAAGAGCCTCGGAAATGGAAATGTTTGTATCACTATGAAATGTTGGTGATTTAAAGGACAATATTCAGATTAAAAATGACGAGAGCTGATATCAGCAAAATAGATTGCTTAATAAGAACAATATCTTGTTAATTCCAATTAAAGTCATTTTTACTTTGTGTTAAGTCTCTCACTGGTATAATTCCTATCTTGATTTGGCATGAAATAATGATGTTTTTTAAGAAGTAGAATTACAAAGAAAATCAGTCTTTATATTAATAGGTACAAAGTTAAACTTAATATAACTTAAGCAGACCTTAAAAGTGGTTCATTTGTTAGCATTTATTAGGTCTGTTATTTGAAAAAGCCTCTAATAGTATTTTGTAATTAGACAAATATTCATCTATTTTGTAATTAGAGAAGTATTCTTATCATTTTTTTATCATTTTTTTTCTTTCTTTATGATTTAGCTAGAAGATAGTAGAAAATGAATATCTATACCTTTTGTTGAATGTTTGGCTCACAGAACCAAAAACTGGCATAGATATATAAATAACCTTTATTACAATAGGTACATGTTGATTCATAGTTTTCTTTCTATAATTTCAGAATTGTAGAAATATTTAGTAGAAGATTACAAGGTAAGCATTTTTTTGTATCCTCAGTTTCAAATTATTTTCCATACTGAGCAGAAATAAGCTAAATACATCAAAGTATAAGAGTTGTATATTTCATTCAGAGACGCGTATAAATAAAAATGGTATGAAACTTTTACAGGTACTTATTTTTAACACCCCTCAGAATAATATTTTTTAAAAGTAAGTATTATTATTAAATGATTTATAAAAGTTTTACAAGTTTGATAAAGTATATGTATAAGTATTTTAACAGACAAATAATAACATTGCTTACTGTCATAGTACATGGATTTATGAAATTGCATACACATCATAAACTTAAGTATGCATTACAAACTGAATAAATTATACTCATGTATGTCCTAGGTATATCTTAGTGTATCCACAGGCAGTAATTAAACCGTGAAGTAAACATTTTTATTTGAACATGTTAATTAGCAGTTAAACATAGGACGTCCTTAATGATTGTATATTACTGTAAATATTACAGCAGTTCAAATATGTTTATTTTTATTGTAATCATTAATAGCTTGATGTTTATTTAGAAACACTGTTGAGTATGTTTTCTAGAACTAACCTGAGTAAAGTCAACATCACTACCATAATTTTGTGTCATTATTTATCTCACCATAATAGTGTATTTCAATGTAATATATGTTTACATTGGTCAAAGTTGACCATATTTTCAGACACAAAATACGTGTGTTTTCATACTTTGGATTTACTCATTTTGTTTAAGCCATCTATGTAGTTTTTCTTATGAAAGTTTTGTTGAGGATAATATGTCCAGTGCCTATTATTCTCCTAAACTGTTTAAAATGATTAATTAAGTCTCATTAAATGAATGTGGAGAAGTTGGTGGTGATTTGAGGAAACACACCAATATATATACTATATGAGAAAATTCAAGATCTTTTTACAGTGACTTCTACAATATAAATGAAGTAATGAAATACAAGAAAATCGGATGTTGTACATAACTTGCAACAACAACAAAGACATTTGAGAAATGAGAATGTCTTTCTTAAAATTTATCACGAGTAACTTATTGATTGTTGTGGAGAATCTGTAATACACACCATGCCCTAAAACAGAATTCCATAAAATACAACATTTCTTTTTCATATTTGAACCCACAACCTAACAGTTATGAAATTTAGATTTAAATTTGTAATGCCTTACATATATTTATCATATGTTGAGACATTTAAATTGTAGTTCAGATTATGCAGCATGTGTATTTCACATCTTGATAATTTAATTTCAGTACAAGAACGTTTAACAAAACAAATTGCTGTAGCAATAACAGAAGCCATACAGCCAGCAGGTGTTGGTGTTGTAGTTGAGGCTACGTAAGTATAAATGATAAAATATTACTATACATTATGATAAAAATATTAAGTTTTGGTGATCAATTTTGCACTTCAGAATGGTTCTGCGTTTGTACATATGCGTTATGGTCATGGCTATAAGACCTATTTAATACCTCGTTACCATGCTTAATTTGAATAATGTGTAATTTCCTTCTTTGACTTTTGAGCACTTGCAGCAGGAATACTGAAAAAAAAAATCAACTTTTTTCCTAAAGCTTATAAAATTATGTCATAGTTAAAATAATATCAGTTTTTCATTTTAGAAGATGGTACAGTTAATAATGTCAAAATTGCCCTTACTGTAATAAATGCAGCACTTGTTTCATTAACACACAATTTGTGATGCCGTTACTATGGTTTTCGCACATTCTATATTCCATGATAATAGCAGTCTTGTAATTATTTGACATTGTGAAAGGTAATAAAAAAATCAGCATCAATATGCAGACAAATTAGCAGTAACTGATAGTGTTAAGCAAAAATTTCTCAATTATGTAACATTGAATAAAATGTGAGAAAAGACAATTTAAAGTGACAAGCTCATTTTTTAATACTCAAATTGAGTTGAATTAGTAATATATTTCAAATGATTGACTGTATTAGAATGGTGATTGACCAATTACTGGTAATTTTAAAAAATTCAATGATACAATATAACTAGAACTCCGCGAGTCGGATGTGTCGCCTTGTGAACAATGTAGTTTAGGAGAAATGGCCAGGACAAAACTGAAATATGAAAAATAACAAAGGGCAATAACTAAAAAAATAATAAGTGCAGAGCAGCAGTTTCTGTGCACTGCACTTCTTATCAATAAGATCTATCTTCTATGATGTTTCAAGTCCATAGCTTTCAAACTTGAGGAGAAATGACCAGGACAAAAATAAAATAAGAAAATCAACAAAGGGCAATAACTCAAAAAATAAGAAATGCAGAGTATCAGTTCTTACTGCACTTTTTCTTAATGAGATCTATCATCCTATGAAGTTTCAAGTCCATAACTTTTATACTTTCGGAGAAATGGCCTGGACAAAAATTAAGTATGAAAATTAACAAAGGGCCATAACTCAAAAATTAAGAAATGCAGAGTACCGATTCTTGTGCACTGCACTTCTTCTTAATGAGATCTATCATCCTATGAAGTTTCAAGTCCATAGCTTTTATACTTAAGGAGAAATGGCCCGGACAAAATTAAAGTATGAAAATAAACAAAGGGCAATAACTCAAAAAATAAGAAATGCAGAGTACCTGTACTTGTGCACTGGACTTCTTATTAATTAGACCTATCATCCTATGAAGTTTCAAGTCCATGGCTTTTATACATAAGGAGAAATGGCCCGGACAAAATTAAAGTATGAAAATTAACAAAGGGCAATTACTCAAAAGTTAGGAAGTGCAAAGTACCGGTTCTTGTGCACTGCACTTCTTCTTAATGAGATCTATCATCCTATGAAGTTTCAAGTCCATAGCTTTTTTAGTTGAAGAGAAATGGCCCGGACAAAATTAAAGTATGAAAATTAACAAAGGGCAATAACTCAAAAAATAAGAACTGCAGAGTACCCGTCCTTGTGCACTGCACTTCGGGTTATTGAAAGAAGCATGCATACCAAGTTTGAAGTCAATCAGACTTATAGTGACTGAGTTATGCTCCGGACAAGCTTTAGGGGACGCCAACGCCGACAACGACACTGCCGACAAAAGTAACCCCTATATGTCACCTTTTCAAGGCGACACAAAAACGACCTTAATTATTATAAAAAAGACTGACCCACTCTTTTTAGGAATTGCATATTAACCCATAGATATTTATAGAAATTTCTATTGGTCACATGGATTATTGATTATTATTTACTATTGTTTAATGAAATAAGATTATAAAATTAGTATAAAATGGACCACAACTATGGCGAAATGTCAAGTTATTTTTTTTATCTGTGCAAAGTGCCCATTTACACTTGGATGCCCATTTACGCTTGGATTGACATCATGTCACTTTAATTAGGAAAGTATTGAATAAAATCTTGATATAAAACATTTTTTTGTAAACTTTAACAGACATATGTGTATGGTAATGAGAGGGGTACAGAAGTTAAACAGCCGGACTGTTACAAGTACAATGCTTGGCGTGTTCCGAGAGGATCCCAAGACACGTGAAGAGTTCCTGACGTTAATACGCAATAACTGACTAACATATTCTCATAATACTGTTGCCATGGAAATGAGCAACATACAAGACACCATTCCAGTGAATTGCAATTGTTCTTTAAGACCAATAGGTTGTTTTATTTGTTGATTTCATATTGTTTTTTAAGTTTTTACTATTTTTATATCTTATACATTCAGGTAATAAAAACTGCATTTAAGGTTTGACCAAAGGTCATACTTGATATCATTCCTTCTACCCATTGTATTTACTTACAAGTCTGATCTCTTTTAAGACGGGGACCCAATTTTATATGAAGATAAGCATTTTTTTGCTTTTGCTCTCTTATAGGGCGGGTGAAATATTCCCATTTGATTTTAAAAACTATATCAAAATTCTGCTTAATTTCCATGTTTACTTGTACTTACAAAAAAGTTCATATTCATAAAGCTATTATTATATTATCTATTATTTTAAATGTAGGTCTCTATGTGGGCTTGTCCAAATGATTTTTTTGAAATTGGGATAAAAATTTGAAGAAGTTTAGTCAGCCAAAATGTTTTTGTACAGATAGATTTTTATGGTTTTAGCCAACATTTTATTTGATCTATGAATAATGCATTCCAGATTTCTAATTTTTTGTTTTGTTTTTGATATTTATTTTCCAAGGAAAAAATGGGGTTACAAAAACTGGCTGTAATTGTGAGCATTTGATAAAATTTATTGTGTATAAAATATATGACAATGTGTAGTGATGCAGGGATTTCTCTCCCCAGTGTTTGTTGTTTTCATCTTATTTATGATGACAGTTTGACAGATAGTAATCATTCAGAAACTGTTTGTATATCATTCATTTGAACTTATCAAATCTTACCATACATTATCTCACAAATCATTAAAGAAAGGACGGGAATATTCATATCTTAAACTATAATTAATTACTTTAGAGTAAGCATATATGCACTTTGTCAATGCTCATTTTAGAAGTGTTCTAGAAACAGATTGTTGTTTTGAACACGACTATGTCAAATTAGTATAACTGGCCTGTCCCACAGAGACTCAACCAGTGTTGGGATAGTATAAAATGTAATTCTAGAAAACAAAATATATATATATTCTAGAATTACTTTTTAAACTATCCCAACACTATGTTGAGTCCCTGTGGTCTATCCATGTTTAAGTGCAGACCAAGATTAGCCGGTATATCTGTGTCATTTGATCATGGTCTGCACTGTTTATTTTTCTGTCAATATTTATCATGAAAATTTCCCTAAAAAATGATGACTTGCTTTGTCCAGAATGAAGAGGGGACAAGTCCCTTTAAGATACATTGTATCTGAAAACTAGACAAGTCCCTTTAAGATACAATATTTTTGGCATGGAAAGGGTAAATTATTATTATCACTTTCAATAATTTTACAAGTAAGATTTAACTATATTACTGATTCTTTTTTTCTTATAATATTCTTCAGGGTATTTTAATTTGCAGGCAAATTTTATATTTACGGTTGTGTGTATGATAAAAATAATCAAATATCTGCCTATTTGCATTTATATTTTATATCACCAGTATGTACTGCATTTTGTTATTGCACAGATATTTTAAAGCTTACATTTTGTACAAGAATTTTTAAGTTTTCAATTCATTATATTTAATGAGTTGATGTCAATTCTAACATGAGATTTGCTTGTTTTACTTACATTTACATATAATTATACATTTAAATTAGGTGCCTCATCAATGCTTAGATGTTTGAACATGTATATATATGCAAGTATACGTGCGTTTGAGCTGCCAGATGTTTTGAATTGTCTTAAATAAATCATGGAAATTTTTATATAAATTAGTACATCTGCCTACATTTTATATAGTACAGAATGACGTATATCTTATGTAAGAATTCAGTTATTGTTTTCTAAAGTTTGGTCTACATAGTTGGGGTTGACCCTATATTTCATATATATTTTGCTCTCAGCAGTTGTTATTAAAGTCATGAATTTCAGATTCACAATCAATAATGATATTGTTATTTTTAAGAATCAAATTCTGCCAATAATACTAGTCATAAAGTGGTGTTACATTTTAGTAGATCTTAGTAACAACTTGTTAACATATTTATTGTTAAAATGATATTTTAGAATAGTAAAGAATATTTAATAATATATTTTGTACAAGTTCAATAAGAGAATTACATGTAGTTACATTTTTCTTCTATTTTTCATGTCAGTTATCATTTGTAAACATTGTGAGGACGGGGTATTTTCCTGTATAAAAATGCCTACATTTTGCCTCTATGTAGCAAGTTTCTGTAACAGAAAATATTTTCATTTTTTTAATCATTTAAGACAAGGTTTTCACCAATGGATAAGATACAGCGAAAATAATAAATATTACTTCCGTAAATAATATACCCAATTTGTAACGTTGCTTTTCATTGGATATTTGTGGCATTTACAGATTTTCATCAGATAAGTGTGACATTAATATAAACAATATACATGACTGCTGATGTAATTTCATTCTTTCTCAAATAAAGGAAGTTTGCTGCATTAATTTAAAAGATTCATTATAGATATTATAAATTCACTATAAATATTCCTGACAGGTTATATGGCAGTATATGAACGGTTGTTTGCAATATAACCCTTCACTATGCATTTGGGTTATATTTCCAAACAACAATTTATATATAGCCATATAACCTGTCAGGAATCTTTATAAATAGTGATATAACCTTAATTTAAATCAGAGCTCAATTTGGATTGGAAGAAAGTCTGCCATGTTGTCTGTTGCTTTTCATTTGCTTTTATATTTCAAAGTAAAAAAAAGTCAATGTTTATTTGCTTTTCAATATTGGTGCGGAAGCTCTCAAAAATTTGAGGCTTTGGTTTTGTTTCGCAAAGAGAGATATAAATGTATTTAAAACTTACATAGTCAGTAGACCTGAAATAACTAGGAACACATGGGTTTTCTGTCTCAAATTGAGATATAAATGCATTTAATGCTGACATTTGTAATTAACAGACATATACATTTTATTCTGATTAATTTCTTGATAAATATCAACTTGAATCAGGCTGATATTTCACTCCTCTTTTTCTTGTATTCATATCAATTTTACCCATGATGCTTTCAGTAATTATATTTTTGCCATCTGTATGTGTGTAGTTGCATGATCAGTTCATTAATTAATATTATAATAATTGATATATTTAAAAAGTCCTAATGAACTAATTACCAGTTACAAGGATGTTTTATTGGGGATGTTAACATTTTCTTTCTGTCCATGTAGATCAGGGTAAATATATATACACATGTCCCTGTATATATTTAGATAGTAAACTTTATTTTGTATTTGAACTATTATTATACATCAAGATTGTGCAATTAGTAGAAAATAGTTAAGAGATTAGTGTCATTACAATTAAGTTGCATCAATTATATGGATTTAACTCACTATAGTGTTGGAGCAAATTACCTGCACACACAGAAATCGTGCTCACAAATTTCATTCTCTGTGACTTTCTTTACTGATTTTTACATTATTCATTAATTATCATATATAAATCGGTGTGAACAGTTTTAAGCATTTAAGAGTACATTTTGGTTGGTGGAAAGGCAAATATTTTAGCATTTAATAATTCAAGCACCTTGTCTGGTATATACCGGAATAGGATATTTAGTGTGGTGCTCCAACACTTTTTTAAGCCTCACTCCTATTATATTGCTTTAAAGATTATAATTAAGTTGCTATATTGGTTTTGAGATACAATTTAAGTTGCATTTACTATTTTGGTTTAGAGAGTTAAGTAAAATTAAGAAATATAAGAGAGAAACAAATTGCATTTACTACCACTGCTTATGGTTTAGAGATTATGACAAATCAAAATGAGTTGTTTTGTTTTGGAGATTATTTTTATTGCAAGAGTACGGTAGATTCTGTTTGTTATGTTTTTAGTGATTTGCTTGTGTTATTTTACATCCTATCATGTGTATGAATAGAAGTTTTACTTTTTCAGATTCTATATCAATCAATTCATGTAACAAAGAAAACTCTGATCATGAAATTTCAGTTTCAAAACTTGAAAGACAGGGTTATGCATACAGTTCCCATTATTTAAAGCTTAATCATTTACCATGACATGAAAAAACTTACATGTAGATAACTTCTGCAGCAAAACAAGTATGTCTTAGAAAAATATACCAAGCATATCAAAATTACAGAACACATTGTCCATTTGGCTGCAAAAACATGACATTGGTACTAAATTTGGCCATGGTGTAAGCTTATAGTCCACTGTTATTTCAATTGGTCAGATTTAAATTTTGTTAATTCCACATATTTACTAAAATATATACCATGACATTTTAAAGTGTTGATTTAATTTTAAACAAATTTGCAGATATATAGATCTTTAAAATAAACCTGCCTGTGATATCATTACTTCTTATTATGCTTGTTAGATATCTTTCACAAAATATTAATGACACAATATTTATAAATGTTGAAGTTTTATGCCAAACATTTTATCTGTGGTGTGTATATTATGTAAGTTAAACTGGAAAAAAAAACATTGTAATAAAAGCTTTGGAGACAAATATTTGTTGTTTTGAAATCCAGTTGGAAGAAGTACATATAATATGCCCTAGTGTCACAGCAAGGATTGAACTCAATATATTTATCTTATATTATTTTATTGTCTGAAGTGTCGATTAAGTTCTTGTCAGGACCATAACTTAATCATGCATGATGGAATTTTAACAAGAGCTGTCAAGAGACAACACACTTTTTAGAAAAAATTCTTAGTTAAAGGTGGAATAAATCTGGAAATATCCATGTTACAATAATCTTTATTGGATCTTTTCACACATGATGTGGGTGATGATAAGGAACGTATACTTGAAGTAGATAACTTAAGAAATGAAGAATAACAATCTAAAGTATGCCTATTTTGGCATGTTAAAAGGCTCTGTAATACATGAGACAGGTGACATTAAAAAGGAACAAATATTTAAACTCTAGGCATTGTAGTTTCAAAAAATAGTTGTTTTCTCATACAAGTAAGTGACCCCTGGGTCAGGGTCAATATTGAACAAAGAGGCATGATTCTATCAGTTTTGTTAAGGTAATGCATCTTAGCTCTAGACATTGTAGTTTAAAACGATGAAACTTAAATATGTTTCCCTGATTATATATAAATTAAGTAATCCTCACAGTGGGGCCGATTTAGATTTCAGGAAGGCCAAACCTGTGTTCTGCACATTGTCTCATTATAAGTAATATTTCTGCCAATAAGTTTTAATTGCTTTCTCTTGGAGCAAACAAAAAATTTTGAAATTGATATAACATGACTGTGACCCTGACCTGAGGAAGGTCAAGCCTGCACAGTGCCTCATTATGGTTAACATTTCTGCCTAGTAATTTCCATTTCCTTCCACCAGTTCAAAAGATACAGGCAGGACACGAAAACTGCTTACAACTTTATATGAATCAATTTTTCCATCTAAAAATAGTTAACAGTCCAAAATGCTTTTTTTTTTGTTTAAAGGTCGTAACTCTGACAAAAATCATTCTACTGGAAAACCCATTAATTATGCCAAAGTATTTGAGGTATCGATCAATCTTGTAAAGTTTCATAAACAAGAGGGCCACGATGGCCCTGAAATTGCTCACTTGTATATAGGCCCCACACCAGGGCTTTTATTTGAACAAACTTGATAGACACCAATTAGAAGATGTTTCATGAAAAATATCTAAGCTCTATCTTTGGGGTTTTTAAAAGAAGATTTTTTGAGTTTTTAATATACACATATAAGGAAAATCAATGACCCTAGGGCAGGGCAAGTTTTAACCCCAGGGCCCTTATTTGAACAAACTTGGTAGACACACATTAAAAGATGTTTCAAGCTAAATATCTAAGCTCAATCTCTTTTAGTTTTTTTTAAAAGAAGATTTGGAATTAAATTCTTTGAACAATTTTTAAAGTTGACTACCAAAGGAACATTCATTTGAAGTTTGGATGAAATTGGCTAAGTGGTTTATGAGGAGATGTCATTTAAAGTAAAAGTTTAAGGACGAATGGACGAAAAGTGATCATTGCATTTGTTGTATAAGAGAAGTAGTCTGGACAAGACTTAAATAGGCAAAAACTATTAAAGGGCCATAACTGTACCAACAAGAACTGGTTGAACTGGGTGATGCTCCCCAAGAAGGTTCTGGACACAGGAAAGTATAAACAAGAGGGCCATGATGGCCCTGAGGTCGCTCACCTGTATATAGGCCCCCCGGAGCAGGGCCAGTTTAAACCTCAGGTCTTTTATTTGAACAAACTTGGAAGACACCCATTAGAAGATGTTTCATGATGTTAAGTTTTTACTACACACACATTTTAACCCAAGGGCTTTTATTTGAACAAACTTGGTAGACACCCACAAGAAGATGTTTCATGCTAAACATCTAACCTCTAGCTCATTGGGTTTTTTAAGTTTTTACTATACTCATATAGTTAAAAACAATGACACCTCTGGGTGGGGCCAGTTTTGACCCCAGGGCTTTTATTTGAACAAACTTTGTAGACACTAACTAGAAGATGTTTCATGCTTAATATCTAAACTCTAGCTATTTGGGTTTTTTCAAAGAAGATTTTTAAGTTTTTGCCATTCACATATAAGGAAAATCAATGACCCCTGGGACGGGGCCAATTTTGACCCCAGGGTTTTTATTTGAACAAACTTTGTAGACACCCATTAGAACATGTTTCATGCTGAATACCTAAGCTCTAGCTCTTTGGGTTCTTTAAAAGAAGATTTTTTTAACTTTTACTATATGCATAAAGGGAAAATCAATGACCCCCTGGGGCAGGGCCAATTTTGACCCCAGAGCTTTTATTTAAACAAACTAGGTAGACATCCATAAGAACATGTTTCATGCTAAATATCTGAGCTCTAGTTATTTGGGTTCTTTAAAAAAAGTGTTTACTATATGCATATAGGGAAAATCAATGATCCACCTGGGGCGGGGCCAATTTTGACCCCAGGGCTTTTATTTGAACAAAGTTGGTAGACACTCACTAGAAGATGTTTCATGCCATATATCTAAGCTCTAGCTCTTTGGGTTTTTTAAAAGAAGGTATTTAAAGTTTTTTCTTTCGGTTGCCATGGCAACCAGAGTTCTGCATGGAATTAAATTCTTTGAACACTTTCTTAAGGTCACCACCAAAGGAACATTCCTGTGAAGTTTGGATGAAATTGGCTTAGTGGTTTATGAGGAGATGTCATTAAAGTAAAAGTTTACGGACGGATGGACGACGGACAGACGCCAGACGAAAAGCGATCACAAAAGCTAAAAAAATGAAAAAAGGGCAAAAACTCTAAAATTAGGCAAGGCGGAGTCATGTTTTTTGGCACTGCACTTCTATTCAATGAGATCTATCTATCTATAAAGTTTCCTGATGATATCAGAGTTATGTCCCGGGTAAAATTCAAAGTGTAAAAATGAACAAAGGGCAATAACTCCAAAATTAGACCAGGCTTTGTTTAGGTTCTTTAAGCATTGCAGTTCTATCCAATTATATCTAGCTACCTACAAAGTTTCATATTGATATCTCTAATAGTTTTAAAGTTATGTCCCGGACAAAAGTCAAAAAGTAAAAATAAACAAAGGGCAATAACTTCAAAATAAGGCAAGGCAGAGTAATGATTCTTAAGCACTGCACTTCCACCCAATGAGACCTATCTATCTACAAAGTTTCATGTTGATATCTCTTATAATTTTAGAGTAATGTCCCGAACAAAGTTCAAAGTGTCAAAATGCCAAAAGTAGGCAGGACAGTGTTACAGTTCTTGTGCACTGCAAACCTACTTAATAAGATCTATCTACCTACAAAGTTTCATGTTGATACCTGGGCAAATGTTTCATGTTTAATGTCCTGGGCAAAGTTCAAAGTGTGAAAAAAAAAAAGGGGGATAATTAAAAAATTAGGCAAGGCAGAGTTACGGTTCTTGTGCACTGCACACCTACTCAATGAGATCTTTCTACCTACAAAGTTTCATGTTGATACCTCTTATAAATTTAGAGTTATGTCCCGGACAAAGTTCAAAGTGTAAAAATAAACAAAGGGGGATAATTCAAAAATTAGGCAAGGCAGAGTTACGGTTCTTGTGCACTGCAAACGTACTCAATGAGATCTATCTACCTACAAATTTTCATGTTGATACCTCTTATAGTTTTAGAGTTATGTCCAAGACAAAGTTCAAAGTGTAAAATAAACAAAGGGGGATAATTCAAAAATGAGGAAAGGCAGAGTTACGGTTCTTGTGCACTGCACACCTACTCAATGAGATCTATCTACCTACAAAGTTTCATGTTGATACCTGTTATACTTTTAGAGTTATGTCCCGGACAAAGTTCAAAGTGTAAAATAAACAAAGGGGGACAATTCAAAAATTAGGCAAGGCAGAGTTACGGTTCTTGTGCACTGCACACCTACTCAATGAGATCTATCTACCTACACAGTTTCATGTTGATACCTCTTATACTTTTAGAGTTATGCCCCGGACAAAGTTCAAAGTGTAAAAATAAACAAAGGGGAATAATTCAAAAATTAGGCAAGGCAGAGTTACGGTTCTTGTACACTGCACACCTACTCAATGAGATCTATCTACCTACAAAGTTTCATGTTGATACCTATAGTTGTTTCAAAGTTATGTCCCGGACAAGAAAAGGGGATGGACGGACGGAAAGATGGACGGACGGACAAGGCTGCGACTATATGCTCCCCCGAAATTTTGGGGAGCATAAAAATCATTAAATTGATAAATGCTGACGATTTGCACAACTATACTTGGTACTTATCATTCTTCTAAAGTTTGGATGAAATTGCAACTGTAGTATTTGAGGAGTAGTCTGCACAAGTTTTGTGACAAATGTACAGAACTCCCTAAATAGTTCTATAAACTGACCACTTTAAAATAATGGAAATATGAACAATACAACAAATCATATCATTAATGTATACAGTTTTAATAAAACATTACAATTAATTATTCCAGATGCTATTTTCTTTAAAGATTTCAAAGTCGCTTCAAAAGTTTCTGCTGATCTTGCTTCTTCACTAGCAAGCAAAACATAGCCAATAGTCAATGCATTATATATTTGTTTCTCCATTTCAATATATAAATATTAAACCAATATTAAACTGATGTGAATATAGCACTTTCAAGTCAAATGAATGAACATTTATTCTCAAGTTGTGGCAGATGAAAGAAGAACCTATCCCATAAACTATTATTCCAAATGAATGTTGTTAAATGTACAGTCTATTATTATCGATGAGAGGCCATGATAGCTGCTACACCTGAAAATAAAAACATACCATAGGTTAGTGAAACAACAGTTTTTTGGTTTTTTTTATTGTGTTATTACATTTATTTGTTGATAAAATTTCATATCTGTTAAATTTAGCTTTATCAGTCACCTTCAGCTTTATCAGACACCTCATCAATATATATATATATATATATATTGGAATAAAATGAAGAGATTGGAATATTTTACCTCCTACTAGATTGAAAATATTAAACTAATAAACTTTGAATCTAATACATTTTTGGACAGGATCTTAACAGGTTTTTGTTTCTTTTGAAATTAAACGAAAGAAACGCATATTAAAATTGCAAACATGATAAATAAAAATACCAAACAAGTGTCTGATATTATAAAATTTATCAGGCTTGGCACGAAAAAAATGAAGTCTTTTCCTTAGCCTTGCCTGATACGTTTTGTAATATTATACACCAGCATGGTATTCTCTATTTATTGGTTGAGTTTTACACTGCACCAAAAGTGTAAAGGTCATATGGCTACTCTCCAGCTTTACCCGTTAGTGAAACCACAGGTGCCCCTCTATGCATTATTTCAGCTTCAAACCAGCACCTGAGTATAACTAACAACTTTTAATAACTAGCCAGATAGCTTCCTCATATGAAATAATCCAAAGTGCTTGGCAGGATTCAAACCATAAGAGGTGAGAAGCAAGTGGTGCAACAATACCAGTATGTGGGCAATAATGATTCCTAAAACATTCACATCAATATGCTTAATACTATGAAAAGAGCCGTATTTTCTAACAAGAATTTCCAATTGAAATGAAACCGGTCGTTCTCTTTTACTTAAAATGTCATGATAATGTAAGACACACAATTTATACATAATAATTTCAACAAATCCTATTACAGGATTAACACAGAATATATTTTTGTACGAATGTGTAGGTCGCTAAAAGCTTTTAGACACACTCAAATCCGTTTCTGGAACCAACCAGTACTGAGCAATGGGTGTGAAGTTTCTTGCATAAGGAAACAACAGCTTGCACCTGACAGGGTTTGAACCCACATGGACAGAGATCCTTAGATTACAGGTCCGACAGGATAACCAATCTGCCATGCCTCCACTCCTAATCCTTGACAGAACAAAAATTTGCAACAGCTTCTTCATATTATTATCCTCTTAACAAAGTCTGTGATACATACTGTCAAATGTGATTTTCTCTGTTATATTTTTAGTTTTGATATTATCTTCCTGGTTAGTGATATAAACATTGCCATCAGTGCTAAGATTCCAGCCATATTTGCTTATCCATTGCTTTACTTGTGTATCTGAAAAATATAATGTCACTGTGTGATAAAATTCATTACACTTTATTTGAATATGACTTCTTTATTGCAGTTACTTTATTGTAAAATACAGTTCTGTTTTCGTTTTTGGTTGGGTTTTTTCATTGTACCAATACAGTATAGGTCATATGGCAACTTTCCAGCTTTACTGGTAGAGGAAGACCTCAGGTGCCCTTCCGAGCATTTTTTCAGGCACTTGAGTGGAACCACCTACGTTCTATAAGCTACCTGTATAGCTTCCTTTACATGGAAGAATCCAAAGTCCCTATCAGGATTCAAACCCATAGTGGTGATCATGGGCAAGCAATTTGAAATCGACCTTAACCACTCGGCCACGAACGTCCCTTAAAATACAGATATAAACCTCATCTAAATCTTTAGATAATAATCTTGGTTAAAAACAAGAGCTGTCACAGGAGACAGCGAAGCTCGACTAATAAAATACTGGACGCAGTAAGGAGGACAAAACTATGAAAGAAAAATCAATTATGTATAATTATGTATTAAGTTATAGTAAAAAAATAACATTTGTTAACATAAATTCCAAGATCAAGGGGAATAATTCTAGAAATAGTCATGCTAGAGTTATGGACCTTGCAACACAACATTTGTGTAATGATAAGAAATATATATTTGAAGTTTGAAGTAGATACCTTAAAAAATAAAGAAGTTATTATATTTCTTAAAGAAAATCCTAAGTTCAAAGAGAGATAAATCTGTAAATATTGCTTCAAGAGTTATGAACATTGTCACATAAAATGTAATTGATGATAAGGAATAAGTATTTGAAGTTTGAGGTAGATACCTTTTAAAATAAAAAAGTTAAAATAAAAATAACATTTTTCTAGAAAATAAATCTAAGTTTATGGGGAGATAATTCTTGCAATATTGGTGCTAGAGTTATGAACCTTGTCACATAAGATGTGGATGATAATAACGTAAATATATTTGAAGTATGAAGTTGATCCCTTTAGAAATAAATAAGTTACAGTAAAAAATAATATTTTGTATGGAAAATTCTAAGTTCAAAGGGAGATAAATCTGAAAATATTGGTGCTAGAGTTATGAACCTTGTCATATAAGATGGGGATGATGATAACGTAAATATATTTGAAGTATGAGGTTGATCCCTTAAGAAATAAAGAAGAAACAGTAAGAAATAGTATTTTTTGATGAAAATTCTAAGTTCAAGGGGAGATAAATCTGAAAATATTGGTGCTGGAGTTATGAACCTTGTCACATAAGATGGGAATGATGATAAGGTACATATATTTGAAGTATGAGGTTGATCCCTTAAGAAATAAAGAAGTATCAGTAAAAAATAATATTTTTTAAGGAAAATTCTAAGTTCAAGGGGAGATAAATCTGAAAATATTGGTGCTAGAGTTATGAACCTTGTCACATAAGATGTGGTTGATGATAAGGAACATATATTTGAAGTTTGAAGTTGATACCTTAAGAAATGACAAAGTTATAGTGAAAAATATTTTACTGCACCAAAACTTTAATCTAAAATCTGGACGCGGACGCCGACGCCGGGGCGAGTAGGACAGCTCTCCATATACTTCGTATAGTCGAGCTAAAAATGTTACACTTTTGGAAATCCAATATAAGATTGCTGAAAAGTTGTAAACAGCTTTACCAGGTATTCCACCAAGTAGTTCTGTAAGATGCAGCACTGGTATAGTCTGGTATGTGGCACCAACAACATGGCATACAACTGAAACAACAATCATACACTGTCAAAGGGATCAATCAATATGTATGTACACAAGAGCGATCAGTAATCACATGTGTCGCCTCATGATGGCCAATTTCATGTTGGGACAAATTTTGTGACAGACGGACAGACAGACGGACAGTGCACAACTAGACTAACCACTTTGTACTGATCATTCCTGTAAAGTTTGGATAAAATTGCACCAGTAGTTTATGAGGAGTAGTCCGGACAAGCTTTTGCGTATCTGGCAACACACAGAAAAAAACACCTTTTTATCAAAGGGCCATAACTCGGCCAAAAATCATTCAACCGGAAAACCCGTGCAATATGCGCAAGGACTTGAGCTACAGATCAATCCTGTAAAGTTTCATTGAAATTGCATAAGTGGTATAAGAGAAGTAGTCTGGACAAACTTTAAAAATAAAAAATTTTAAAGGGCCATAACTCAAACAAAAATCATTGAACCGGAAAATACTGACAATATGCACAACTAGACTTGGTACTGATCATTCGTGTAAAGTTTGGATGAAATTGCACCAGTAGTTTATGAGGAGTAGTCCGGACAAGCTTTTGTGTATCTGGCAACACACAGAAAAAGAAACCTTTTTATCAAAGGGCCATAACTCGGCCAAAAATCATTCAACCGGAAAACCCGTGCAATATGCGCAAGGACTTGGGCTACAGATCAATCCTGTAAAGTTTCATTGAAATTGCATTAGTGGTATAAGAGAAGTAGTCCGGACAAACTTTAAAATTAAAAATTATTAAAGGGCCATAACTCTGACAAAAATCATTGAACCGGAAAATCCTGACAATATGCACAACTAGACTTGGTACTGATCATTCCTGTAAAGTTTGGATGAAATTGCACGAGTAGTTTATGAGGAGTAGTCCGGACAAGTTTTGTGACGGACGGACGGACAGACGGACAGACAGACAGACAGACAGACAGACAGACGGACAGACGGACAGACAGACGACGGAGAAGTGATCCCTATATGTCGCCACTACTCCGTAGAGGCGACACAAAAAAAAGAATGTATTGTGAAAGTCTTTCTATGTGTTTCTAGCTCTTACATACATGTTTGGGGTCAATCATTGCAAACCATATGCTTTAACTGTTCTCTATTTTCCCAATTATTAACATTATTGTCCAAGTTAATTATTACATTATTTTACATACATTAGTATGAGCAGAAAATTAAAGGTTTTTCTGCTCATTCATGTAATGTACTGAAGAATGATTTTAGTAACTTTTGCAAGTTTTTCTATTGAAATTAAAACAATATGAATATTTATTATAAACACCAGTTCACAGAGCCATAAATATGAAAAGACTTATTCTGTCTTTTCTATTTTATACTTGATCGTTAAATTTAAAGAACACATTTTCTACAGTGTCAAAAAATTACATAAATCTAAAGACAAGTCCTATATAAATAATAACTCTTCTTCCTGTGTAAATAAATGTATCCCATTATATAATACATATTGCACATTATGAACATTTATAGTAATTTACAGTAAAATATCATACATTTTCTGACTGAGTCTTCAAATCCCTTCACACCCATTGTAACATCTGGCTCTTTCTGTATCAACTCCTATTAAGCAGAAACGAAAACAACATTTCAAAACCTTTTTGCAGCAACATGTATTACAATTGATGAAAGAACTATTAAAGACTTAACTAGTGTATGATTATGAATATCTGGAAAAAAGTGATCCCTTGGAAGCATTAATCACAACAAAATTACATGAAAATTGCAGACTCAGTTTGATTAAGTCTGTGCATGAGAAATGATAAAAAGTGCAAACATCCAACATGCTCCCTAGCACCGGCTTGAGGGGTACTCGATCTTCAACACTTAACGTGCTGGAATAAATGATCCCAAAGGACCAGAAAAATATAACAACACTGAAATATGGGGCAACTTTTAACAACCACACGGCTCCTGACACTTGATATTAATACTTATGTAGCATAAACAAAATTTATAATGCATATGAAAAAGACAACTTATTCTGTTTTGAATATGGTAAAACCATCTCAAACCAAATTAAAAGGCACCAAATGTGTTAATGCTTATCTCTTATTAATAACCAATCTTTATAAAAAGTTAACAAAACTGCCAGAGGACAGTGACGCTCGACAATTCCAAAAAGTTGTCACAAGGGTGTTTCATTGAGTATAATAATGCTTACCTATATGAATACATAAAATTGTCCCAAAAGGTACAAAGGCTTGTTATTAAGATGTTTTATCAAGTAAATCACAGCCATATTATTATGAATACATAAAACTGTCCCAAAAAAGGCACAAACCCTTCAGCAGTTATGGAGATACCAGCTTACAAACAAAAACTTTACCAAGAATTTCTAAGTTGAAAAAGGGGCATAATTATGCACAAAAAAGAAAATCAGAGTTATGGGACTTGTGCCAATCATGTTAGATAATCACAGAGAACAAGTGTGTGAAGTTTCAATCCATTCCCTTCAGTAGTTATGGAGATACCAGCTTACAAACAAAAACTTAACCAAGAATTTCTAAGTCCAAAAAGGGGCATAAATATGCACAAAAGCAAATCAGAGTTATGGGACTTGTGCCAATCATGTTAGATAATCACAGAGAACAAGTGTGTGAAGTTTTAATCCATTCCCTTCAGTAGTTATGGAGATACTTGCTTACACACAAAAACTTAACCACATGGATGCCGACAAATGGGTGACTGCATTAGCTTGATTATTCTGTGAATAGTTAAGCTAAAAAGGGACATAAGTCCTAAAAGCATTCCTTTCAGGACAATGTCCCAGTCTGACAACTGTGCCTTTACATCAGGTATTTTAGGTTTCAAGTAGGTTTCTTTCATAGTTTTGAAATCATTCTACTTAATATGCATATTCAACAAAAATTCAGTCATAAAGGGTAATAACTCCAAAAATAATTACATGTATAGCTTTCAGAATAAATGCCCCTTGTCTTACAAATGTGACTTGTTATTGTAAATAAGTATTCAAAGTTCAATATTGATACTTTTCAGTTTTGAAATCATTAGTTTTTGAAATCAATCTACTTAATAAACAGGCAACTTTGATAAAAAGTGTTTGAAAAGTGGACGATGATGAAAAAGGTGACACAGCCATTATTATATACATGTAGCTCTACTTTTTCTTCCAAACAAACTAAAACTCTTGTGTATTTATTCACCTAGAGGCATGTATAAACAGTAGCAGGCATTCTAATATTCCTGTGAAAGGTTTAACTGTACATTACTTACCCAAAATTCCTGGAATCTGCAAGTTTCTAGAAGATCTGCTAAATTCATGACTGTTTTCACAGGTTCCTCTGTTTGCTAATGACAGTTAAGGAAAAGAAACTTTTTTTTGTTGCATATTATGCAGTTACTTGATTAATGTGCAGCATTTGAAAACTATAATCTTGGCAATACCCTGTAAAACATGTAACATACTATAATTTATATTAAATGAGAACAATTATATTTCTTTGATGACATCTTCATGTCAAGAAGCACATTGATATCATATCTGGCATCAATGGTCAATCTAGGACTGTTTAGAAAGAAAAGTAATATTAACCATATCAACCATTTTATAATATTTATATACTATTGACAAAAATGTGAATAACATTTTGCCTTCTTGAAACATTATAAAGGATACCCTAACTGTGTCTATGAGACATTTACACAATGTGAAGTCAGTATGTGGTAGATTAGTAAGAGCCTTCATCAATATCTGGGCCGTTACATTGGTCTGATAATATCCAGGGTTAAACTGATACCTAGACAAAAAGAAAAGAAATCATTTTAGTCCTGAAATCTGACAAAAACACTATATTTTCATTCAATGCTCTAGAAAGGATTCATTTCTATCATTTTCACAAATACTACAGGAATATGATAACATAACATTATCATATGTATGCAGCAAAAGCTAAACTAATTACAAATTTCTATAACAGTTTGGTGACTCATATGAAATACTTTTTCAAACTTTTTTTTTAAATCTAATGTCAACAAAATGTCTTGCTAACTTCAAGTATTCAAAGTAGAAATTCTTAACTTGATATGCCAAATTTCTTCTTTCTAAAGAGCAAAACTCACTATATAAAAGTATATATGTATTAATATAGCTAACTATCTAATATGTAATAAATGTACTTACAATTTAAGAACACCAAGATTAGCTTCCAAATCATATGTGTTTTCTCTAATTTGCATATCTACATATCTTTCAAGTGTTCCCAGGTTCTCTGGATTATATCTACAATAGAGATAAAGCAAGTTTTGTAAAATTTATTATCTTTAAATACGTAAAAACAAAAATTGACACCATTTTAACTGCAAACTGATAGAACCACTGCCTGACTTCTAAGAATATTGTGAAATATTTCTCAATAGAAAACAATGGACAGAGAATTTAAATAAAATGATTTAAGTAAAAATCCTATATAGATAGTATATATAATATGGGATTTTTTTTTTTAAATTGTTATTTTTTTGTTTTGGATAGAATTTCGGGATCTACAAAGACTGGTCAATAACGGTATGACAGAGTTTATCGCTAGAACTGGCAATGGAACCGACGATGGGAGAAGTCAAGAGCAGTGATAAATTCATTCATTTGGCGTAAAAGTTGGATAGTTGATAAGAGTAAGCAGTGTTTCTGATAGATTTTAATGTGTGTTTAATGCTTTTTTGATTAAGTGTGCTCGAAAGTAAATTCCAGGCGTTTTTACGAATATTCCTTGTAAATGTAGCAGTGGGTGGGGAAATGTTGTTGGCAGATTCCTTGTGTTTTTTTTATAGTGAGCTCGATGAGCTGGCCCGAAGGGCCTGCTCGCAAAGCGAGCTTTATGATAACGCGAGTACCTGCTAAGTGATGGTTTTGAAAACTTTCTTCCGAAGTACCGAATTGGACACATCGCAACTTTTCGAATTTAAAGATAACGATAAAAACTGAGGAATTCTGACTGAAAACGGATGTGTAGACTGGTCACCCGCGCACGTCTATGAGAACCATAATTGGACAGGGAACCAGAATAGCGGAAGCTGTGTATAAAATATCGAATGACAGTTTTAAACCGGAAAATGTAAAATGAAAATTGAAGGCGCCATTTTGTATGAAAAATCTGATAAATAAAAACAATTTTTTGTCAAATTTTGTTGTGAAAACTATCTAGAATGAAAGAAAATGGTCTATCTAAGAAAATGAATTCGAACACCAATATCTTTTATTCAGTCGTTAACGCTGTACAGACGTTTAAAGTATTGTTTACGTGACGTCACAATGTAGCGCCAAACAGCAAGTGCAAAACAATCAAATCAAGTACGCTATTTTAATGTCGCAAACGTTTAAAGTTTTACATTTATTTCACTTTTAATAATCTTATTTCGCTTGAAAAATTATAGAGTGAAATGAAATAAACAAACAAAGTTTTATCAACATTTTCAAAACTCGTTATTCATTTAACGACAGGGGCGGAGCCATATTTAACACAGTACGTGTGACGTCACACGCACTCGTCACTGCATTTGAAATAAAAATGAGCGATTATTTCATACTATATCACGTTAAAAGTACACCGAGCTCGCTTTGAGGCTTTGCCTTTTTCATATTAGTATATATCGTATAAGTACCTAATCTCACACCCAACCTATTCTCAAACCTTTCATTCATGTGTTGTTATTTTTCACTAGAAGTGACTATGATGTCCTGAACTTGTGTGCATAAAAGCTTAGTTTCTGACAGACATATCTGCTGATGTCAAATGAAAACAGTGCATAGGAACAAATATTTACATTACATATTTTATTACTTAGGGTCATACTATACAAATTGCTATAAACTTTGTAAGTCCAGTAAATACACCATTAACTTTTTGTGAAAATGAATATTAGAGACAAAAATATCTTAAAGCAGGTACTGTACCTGCATCGTGTAGGGTACTTCATTGTCATGTGACAGTCATATAACAATCAATTCATTGGCTAAACTAAAAGGTAGAATTTTAGAGATACTTGAAGGGGTTTGAGATTAGGTTCTTGAGATTAAGAAGCCATGTCAGTTTTAAAAATGAGGGTTGTGCTTTTCCAAGATGGAAATAGAGCTTTTTTAATTGTTGAATTTCAGTCATACTTTACAGAAATGTTACATAAAGATTAAAGTGCACATATGTAAAGAATTTTTATAAATATACATTTTTATTTATACTAAAAAACCTCTTGAATGCTTAGAGGTTTGAGGACTGGTTAGTCCACGATATATGGGATTTTTTTTATTCGTTTTTTTTGTTTTGGATAGAATTTAGGGTTATTGTGATAAAAACTTATTACAAACGTAATGTAACAACACGAATTTATATTACAAGGATCGGACACTTTCGTTTTAGCTTAAAGTCTCGTCGCGAGCATGCGCGGAATCGCACATATCGGATAAAGGTGGACAGAATGAGAGATGGCGGAAGGCGCGGAGTGCGAAATATGACAGATTTTCACAAGAGTGTGTGGTGTTATTGCAGCTTTGTGAAAATTTTTACACATATTAATGTATTGATACAGTATTATTTTGTGTCGCTAAAGTATTAATATATGAAAATATGCCGATAGAACGCTGCAACGCTGAGTTAAAAAAGTACCTAATTTAAAAAATATTTGCCTATTGTTAAAGCATACTCTCTACACTTTGACGCCCTTTTACTTCAAGCACAAATTATTACCGCGATTCAGATTAAGATAATTATTTTCTACATGGTTTAATGGTTGCAATGCAAAAAAATGTTTCTTGATTGTTTAAAAACTTTCAAAGAAATTAACGTTTGAAATTTGTCTTTTTTCTGTGAATTATTTCAAAATGATTTGAACATTTTTTATTTGATTACCTGAATATTAGTATAAATATAGTATTCTACTAGTAAGTGTATTAAATATATTTTCAGATCATTGAAAAAAAGCGTTCATACATTGATGAATTCATTATATTGGCAAGGAAGAAACTTTTATTGGCATACAGAACAGCTGTTTTATAATATTATTTTTTATGTTTAAACAGATTTTTTTCATATTTATCCTTCACAATTCACATCAAATAATTTTTTGTCATATGTTTATTTTCATTATTTTTCAATGAAAGGACTATACAAATTTACTTGTATATATTCAATATATTCAATTTCATTTATAAATGTTAATAAAGAAAATAGATTTACATTGTATTTATATATATCCTCTTCAGAATCATTTTCTTATCACACATACCATGGATTGAAGTTAAAGACCGCACATATACAAATTATACATTCAAATTCTATTTGTTTTTGACGATTGAGTGTTGCAATTATCACATGTAACCTGGTAATGAAAGTTTGAAAATAAAGTTTTTCAATTATCACTTGTTACCTGTTAATTAAACCCCTTCAAAAGTAATTAAACTTCAAAGAAATTTAAGCGATGTGTAAAAAATAATCAAAAGTTACTTTTATTTCGCATAATACTGTCTCAAACTGTAAATACTTTATTGTTTTTCTAGCATTACATTAAAAAATATCATAAATATCTTTCTACAGGCATTCAAATAAAAAGAATAATTAAAATATACGAGTGACATTGTAAAGCGCCCGCAATACATTACCCGTAAAACAATTGTGCGTTAATAAATTTGACTACATAACCCAATAAATCTTAAATATTGCATCTTTGATCATCTGTGAATAACTAACAACGGCTTCTTTTTTATTTTGAAATTGAATTTATTATGTTACCATAATAATAAATTTCAAATACCTGCTTTTTATATAAAAAAAATGTGAATTTACCGCGGATTTCGTCAAGTTAATTTTCTAACTGTCGTTGCGGACAGATAAACTGTACCTTTAAACAAGAGCTGTCCGTAAGACAGCGCGCTCGACTTTTTTAGTGCTTGCCTATAATACAAAACATTGACAGTTAAGGGCCATAATTCAAATAAAATCTTTGACAGAATTACCTTCTCCTGGACATGTTTGGGAATCATGATTGTAAACAAGTATTCCAACTTTCAAATTAATATCTCAAACAGTTCAGTCAAAAAGTGGACTGGTACTAAAAACTTAACCAAGATTCTAAGTCGATAAAAGGCCTTAATTTTTAAAAACAAATCCTTGACAGAGTTACCTTCTCTTGCGTACAGATGGGGGTAATGATGTGAAATAGCATTAAAAGTTTCAAAGCAATATCTCAAAGGGTTAAGGCAATAAGTGGATTTTACCCATATTCAATGTATTTTCTAAGTCAAAAAGGGGCATAATTCTGTCAAAAACCTTGACAGAGTTATGTCCTCTTGTCTGTTGATGAAGGTCGTGATGGTAAACAAGTATGGTCAGTTTCAAAGCAATACCTCCAATGGTTTTGAAATAAAGTGAGGTGGTACAAAAAACTTAACCAAGATTCTAAGTCGATAAAAGGCCTTAATTTTTAAAACAAATCCTTGACAGAGTTACCTTCTCTTGCGTACAGATGGGGGTAATGATGTGAAATAGCATTAAAAGTTTCAAAGCAATATCTCAAAGGGTTAAGGCATTACAAAAAACTTAACCAAGCTCAATACACTTTCTAAGTCAAAAAAGGGCCATAATTCTGTCAAAAACCTTGACAGAGTTATGTACTCTTGTCTGTAGATGGAGGTTATGATGGTGAACAAGTATGGTAAGTTTCAAAGCCATACTTGTAATACTTCTGAAATAAAGTGGGGTGGTACGAAAAACTTAACCAAGGTGTGACGCCAACGCTAACGCCGACGCCGACGCCGGGGCGAGTAGGATAGCTCCCCTTTTCATAGAAAAGTCGAGCTAAAAATAAATTAGATATTTGAATTAAACAAGTATTTTTCTTCAAAATAAACTTTAAATTTCCAAAATCGGATAATAAATGGAAAAGCTATATGGTATTTTGTAAAGTAGGTATCTGTTGCGAACGGGCATTTACGCTTAGCGCCGGTAAATTATCGATCGATGTACCTTTATCGGGTGCACGACAAGATATTAAAGCATTTATATAGGGTTAACTGGGAGTGTCCGATCCCTGTAATATAAACAGTGTTCCCACTTCTATTTTTCATTGGGAGTATTTTTACCCCTTACCTTTGAAAACTGGGGGTAAAATTAAAATTCAGGGGGTACTTAAATTTGTACAATATTTATATGAAATTTAAGGATAATTCCAAAATCATACATCAGACAATTATGCTGTTTTCTTCAAGATTCACTTCATCACTGCCCCCCCCCCCCCCCCCCTTAGGTAAAATTAATTGTGACCAACACATACTGGCATATATCTCAATCTCAATTAATATAAACATTATTGAAGTTATCTAAGTTCATAAACAGCATATATAATTGTGACTACACACCTTTGAACAAAACAAAGCTTCCCTTTTGTTGATGTTTTTAAATTAACAAAATCGGCATCGCGAAAATATGTGACAAATGAAAATTCGTCAGTTTTCTGCAGAAACATTTACAATTCCAGTTGTTGCTGATTACAATTATATTAGAATTAATATTTTTTTAATATTTTAAGACTGTTTTTCATTGGCTATTCTTACAGGCATCGTAAAACAAAATTTCAAATTTGTAATTTACGGCAATAATTCCCAGTTGGGGGTCTGTAAACTTCATTGTGAATTCGGAGATTTTCTCACATTTCATCAATTTCAATGCACTTTAAGTGAATTTTGTTTGAAAAATTGCTCAAAAGAATAATTTTTGAATTATACATGATTAAGATTCCGACTTTCTGTGCGTATTTTTACCCTCTTGCCTAAATTTCTGTACGTGAATTTTGTTATTTGTGCGTAAAATACGCACATATGTGCGTAAATGGGAACACTGATAAATCCGTGGTAACAATAAGCATGAAATGGAATCATTTGAATTAATTAATTACATGAAAAGACAAAATAGGGAGAGAACCATCAGGGAGGAAACGTCATGCGAGGAACTGGTAAGGGAGAGAATAGTCCGACTACCCAAACATTTCCACCACATTAGTTGTTTCCAAATTTTTCTTAACTTTCTATAACAGGTAGGACAATTTTTTTTATTTTTAAATCAGGAGTCAAAGAAGAAAATATGTCAATTGTTAACAATTATAATATACAGTAATCTGTATCTCAGTAGAGATGAAAGGGTTGTCTGGTCATTCAACAATCAATGACTACTGTTTAAAGAAATGTACAGTTGATGATAATTCATGAAAATGACAATTAAAAATGATATTTTTGTATAATTTGACTAAAAATAACCTGTCTATTCCCTTTAATAGGGTCGCAACTGTTGATCTCATAGCATCTGCCATTTCGATGAAAACATGCGCGGAAGTAGACTAATTTTCGATACCGGTAAAATGTCGTAAAATTATTTACTTTTTAAAAAAGAACTTTGATAACAAACGCCTTTCCCAGTATCAATCACACCATTAGAATTTCCAAAAAATCGCGATATATTTTCGAGATCAAATCATGGTTATTTTTTAATGAAAATTATGCAATCGGAACTCCTCGGGCGACTTCAAGAATTGCCGAGTCGTTACGATTGGAAAATTATGCTTTTACGACTATCAAAGTTCGCCCGAGAAGAAATTTTTAATATTCTACTTATTTTCTTAATTTTTCTAGCATTTCATAGCATCTTGTTTGGGTAAAATGGCAGTGAATAAGCCTACCGTAATTTCTGATACGGAGAAACTTGAAACAGCCAAAAAATTTAAATCTGATGGAAATGAATGTCATAAAAACAAAGATTACAAACATGCTGTGGGGAAATACCACAGGGCCCTGTTGCAGTTAAAAGGCATTGGAAGTGCAAAGAGTGCTGGTTTGGGAGCATTCATGTCAGAGCAGGATATGGAAGAGATGGGGTATTCACAGCAAGTCCCTGAGAGCGTCAGAGTTGAAGTTACAAAGTTAACAGCTGATTGTTACAACAATTTAGCTGGTGAGTTTGTCGATTATCATTCAAAGGGGTCCGACACACTTGGGTGTGTTCATATATAGTGTAATTAAGCTACACAAGCAATTTGACAAAAAATATATGGACAAATATTTTATATAGAGACAAGGGATTTAACTCTAACATTACCCTATCACTGATAGTTTGTGAAAAACAGTAAACAATTAAAACAAATATCACTTAAACCTTTTCATTTCTCTACTAATCACAATGTAATACCATGCTGATCACAAGCTAGGTTCATATGGACATATATTTTTTGTCAAATTGCTTGTGTAGCTTAATTACACTATATATGAACACACCCAAGTGTGTCGGACCCCTTTGTTATCATTCACTGAGTCAGGTACTTTGATTGGTTTGATCTGGGACAAAATATCACAGGATGAGATAAGCCCCTCATTATATTTTCATCCAATCAGACGCACATCATGTTGATTGTTTTGAAAGAATATTTTTTAAGTATTTTTTGTCCGTAGTAAATCATTAAATGGTGTTAATAACATTGTTTTGGAAGCTGGAATCAGCACTGTTACCGATGATGAATAGATAGGCACTAAATTCTTTAAGATGTACTTCATTTAGATCAAATTTAGCTACGGTATCATTTAAGAACCTATATAGGTGTCTACATTAAATTTCAATTGAGCAGTAGCCAGTACAATTATATTTTTAAAAATGAAAAAATGAAACTCATTTGTGCTTTACTTATGAGCATTGAATAAAATTTCTGTATTTAATATCATCCAATTAATATTGCTTATTATAAATATATGTCAAATACATGTTCTGTATTAGTTATTTAATTATTTATATTCTGATTTCTATAAGTATATACTTTATACAGTATTTTGTATCTCTTTTCCAGCATGTTTACTACAACAGCCAAACCCAAACTATACAAAAATTATTGAATACTGTGATAATGTGATTGAGTTAACACCAAATAATGTGAAAGCTTATTACAGAAGAGGTCTTGGGTATTGTAATTTAGAGAATTATGAAAAAGCGTTGGAGTCATTTGATCAAGCAGAAACAGAGGCTGGTAGTAAAATAGGTAAAGATGATTCTTTGTTTGTATATATCAAGATAATTTAACGCTAACCATGTAAAAGATCTTATATGGAGTCGGGACTTGTCTATCTTTAAATAATAAGTGAACAAAACCATTCATCATATTCAGGTAAAATTGAAGTAAGTTCTGATTTATAAGTCAACAATGCAGACCATTATCAGGTGGCACTGATCTTGGTCTGCACTGGTTGCATAGGTAGATGCTGCAACAGCCAGCAGACTAATGGTTAATAAGTTACAAGTATGATGTATAAAAATAATTTTTTGTTAGAAATATCACCACCTTCTTTCTGATGGATTAACTTTTCTTATATTCTCTAAGATGAATTTATCTCATTTATTATATTTTTTTAAAAAGGTACATTCTTTGACTGCATTTTTTTAAAAGTTTTTTATTTAACAACATTTGTAAAGTTTATTTATATAAAATGCATAACATTTAAAAAATTGTGTCTGAAGTTTCCATTGTCATTTCTTACAATGGCAGGTAAACAAAAAAAAAAAAAAAAAAAAAAAAGAAAAAAAAGACTAACTTGCAGTAGCTTATTTATACGTGCATTACCAGTGTATATTATTCTGAATGTAATATATTCATTATAGAGTTGTCTTCCATCTAAACACATTCTGTTAGCATTGTAAACAAATTTTGATTCAGACAAAAACAATTAAAAACATTTGTCATAGACTCCTATACAAATATATACAGGCCTCGACACTAACTTTTTTATCAGGTGGTAAGCCGGACCACTAGATTTAAAATTAAGGTCCTTCCAGAAGTCAAGTGGTCAATTATTATTATTATATCAGTTTCCTGTAAGTTTAGAAAAAAGTATGCTTAAAATTGATGACAAAGATGTATTTTTAACCTTTAAAGAAAACAGACATTTTAGATATATATTTTTATCTGAGAGCAAGTTAGTAGGTATTCTGTCGTGAAGTTATTTGTTTTTTGTGCCCCCACGTTAGTGGCGGGCATTTAGATTTTACCTTGTCCGTCCGTCCGTCCTTCCGTCCGTCCATCCGTTCACTTTTGTGTCGCACGTAACTCAAAAAGTATTTGACCTAGAGACATGAAACTTTACAGGAATGTTGATCAGCATGTGTAGTTGTGCACCTGGGTATTTTCGTCTGGATATTTTTAGTATTTTCAGAGTTATTGCCCTTGACTTAGTAAAATTTTGCAATTTTCAACTTGTGTCGCATGTAACTCAAAAAGTATTTGACCTAGAGTCATGAAACTTTACAGGAATGTTGATCAGCATGTGTAGTTGTGCACCTGGGTATTTTCGTCTGGATATTTTTAGTATTTTCAGAGTTATTGCCCTTGACTTAGTAAAATTTTGCAATTTTCAACTTGTGTCGCATGTAACTCAAAAAGTATTTGACCTAGAGTCATGAAACTTTACAGGAATGTTGATCAGCATGTGTAGTTGTGCACCTGGGTATTTTCGTGTGGATATTTTTAGTATTTTCAGAGTTATTGCCCTTGACTTAGTAAAATTTTGCAATTTTCAACATGTGTTGCACGTAACTCAAAAAGTATTTGACCTAGAGTCAACTTGTGTCGCATGTAACTCAAAAAGTATTTGACCTAGAGTCATGTAACTTTACAGGAATATTGATCAGCATGTGCAGTTGTGCACCAGGTATTTTTGTCTGGATTTATGTAGTATTTTTAGCTCACCTGTCACAAAGATACAGGGTGAGCTTTTGTGATCGCTTTTCGTCCGGCGTCCGGCCGTCGTCCGTCCGTCCGTCGTCCATCCGTAAACTTTTGCTTTAAATGACATCTCCTCATAAACCACTGAGCCAATTTCATCCAAACTTCACAGGAATGTTCTTTGGTGGTCACCTTTAAAAATTGTTCAAAGAATTTAATTGCATGCAGAACTCTGGTTGCCATGGCAACCGAAAGAAAAATCTTTAAATATCTTCTTTTAAACAACCCTAAGAGCTAGAGCTTAGATATTTGGCATGAAACATCTTCTAATGAGTGTCTACCAAGTTTCTTCAAATTAAAGCCCTGGGGTCAAAATTGGCCCCGCCCCAGGGGGTCATTGATTTTCCCTATATGCATATAGTAAAAACTTAAAAAATCTTCTTTTAAAGAACTGTAAGAGCTAGAGCTTAGATATTTGGCATGAAACATCTTCTAGTGAATGTCTACCAAGTTTGTTCAAATAAAAGCCCTGGGGTCAAAATTGGCCCCGCCCCAGGGGGTCATTGATTTTCCCTATATGCATATAGTAAAAACTTAAAAAATCTTCTTTTAAAGAACTGTAAGAGCTAGAGCTTAGATATTTGGCATGAAACATCTTCTAGTGAATGTCTACCAAGTTTGTTCAAATAAAAGCCCTGGGGTCAAAATTGGCCCCGCCCCAGGGGGTCATTGATTTTCCCGATATGCATATAGTAAAAACTTAAAAAATCTTCTTTTAAAGAACCCAAAGAGCTAGAGCTAAGATATTTAGCATGAAACATCTTCTAGTGAGTGTCTACCAAGTTTGTTCAAATAAAAGCCCTGAGGTCAAAATTGGCCCTGCCCCAGGGGGTCATAGATTTTCCCTATATGCATATAGTAAAAACTTAAAAAATCTTCTTTTAAAGAACCCAAAGAGCTAGAGCTAAGATATTTGGCATGAAACATCTTCTAGTGAGTGTCTACCAAGTTTGTTCAAATAAAAGCCCTGGGGTCAAAATTGGCCCCGCCCCGGGGGGTCATTGATTTTCCCTATATGCATATAGTAAAAACTTAAAAAATCTTCTTTTAAAGAACCCAAAGAGCTAGAGCTAAGATATTTAGCATGAAACATGTTCTAATGGGTGTCTACCTAGTATGTTCAAATAAAAGCCCTGGGGTCAAAACTGGCCCCGCCCCAGGTGTCATTGATTTTCCTTATATGTGTTTAGCAAAAACTTAAAAAACTTCTTTGAAAAAAACCAAATAGCTAGAGTTGAGATATTAAGCATGAAACATCTTTAAGTAAATATCTACAAAGTTTGTTCAAATAAAAGCCTGGGGGTCAAAACTGGCCCTGCCCCAGGGGTGTCATGGTTTTTAACTATATGTGCATAGTAAAAACCTTAAAAAATCTTCTTTTAAAAAACCCAATGAGCTAGAACTTAGATGTTTAGCATGAAACATCTTCTTATGGGTGTCTACCAAGTCTGTTCAAATAAACACAAATAAAAGCCCTTGGGTAAAAATTGGCCCGGGGGGGGGGGGGGGGGGGCTATAATTATACAGGTGAGCGACCTCAGGGCCATCATGGCCCTCTTGTTAGAGTTATTGCCCTTCACTTAGAAAATTTTTGCAATTTTCAACTTGTGTCGCAAGTTACTCAAAAAGGATTTGACATAGTCATTAAACCTTATGGGCAGGTTGCTCAGCATATTTAGATTTGCACCTGGGGTTTAGCTTGTGGATTTATCCAGTATTTGTAGAGTTATTTCCCTTTACTTAGTAAAAAGATTGACAGAACAGTGGCGCGGTGGGGGCACCCGTGTCCTATGGACACATTTCTAGTTTTTTTTTCATAGCTCATTCGAAAATACACAACAGGGCTCTTATTTGTGTTAACTTATATATTGAAGTGATTTCTGTCTCAACTCAAGTTAGGGAATAGTGAAACCATTTGTGTCTGGGTTTTTTTCTTACTGTTATTCAAATATACATTGCTGATACGTGGTACGTCTTATAATCATGATAATTACATGTATCTTTTATAGATTAACATTTTAATAAAAACTAATAAATTATCTTAAAACAAGGAAATATCTAAAGACAACTTTATATATAACTATAGTTTAGCTTATTTTTCTCACAGATTTATTATGAATACAGAATTTTTATCGCCCCGTTGCTTGTTGGTTGATATTTATTTTTTACATTGAGTATTTTTAACCTTTTATCAAAAATTTAAAAAAAAAGTAATTTTAACTCTGGAAGAAATGGATCTCTTAGCGTTAAAAAGTTAAAATAAAGATAACTAGCAAATAACTTGATGTATTTCTCAAGTTCCTTTAGTTTGCTGCCATTATTCATGTATATGAAATTGAAAGTTCATACGGTATCCCATACAATATCATAATTACCATCGTCGGATACCCACGTGTGATTAACATGTAACATAACATAAATGTTAAAGGTTCCACCGTGGTAATCCGACGATGCATCATTACTAGCATCATTTGAATGCAATTTGTACCTAGCTTAATATCACAAATTCTTAACTCTTTTAACTTGCATAGACACAATTTTAGCAACTTAAAATGAAAGTTATTGATGATTTAAGACCTTCTTTAACTTATCAGATTAATCTATTAATGAACCATATACATGTTCATAGGACAAATGGTTTTAAACAAAATATATATAACATGTTTTTGACCAAATTGCCATTCTCCCAAATGAGCCTTGCACAAACCAGAAAATTCAAGTGGTCCGACGGACCAGTGCATTTTAAAATTAGGTGGTCCTTGCCAAAATCAGGTGGTCTCGGACCAACGGACCACCGCTAATGTCGAGGCCTGATATACTTTGTAAAATTTGGATGTTAGTAACATGAGTAATAGCTTCAGAGAATTTGTTAATTTTCTTCAAAGTTCAAAGCAAAAACAGACTTTATAGTTCTTAAAGGTTCATTCTATATCTTGACATTTTATTGTACACAGATAGAGGACTGAGGGCGTTATTGAATAAACACGTGCAGATATGTAGAGAGGGCATAAAGAGGCAAGATCAGCAATTGAGTAAGGCATACAGAGGAATGTTCGACAGCAAAAATGACAGTAGTAAAAATGGATGATAGAAGTTTAGTTACATTAACATTACTAAACAAAATATTTGTGCTTGACAACTGTGCTTAGGTTCCTTTGAAGATGTTAATCAGAGCCGAAATATTTGATAGCCTGAATCTGATATTATTGTATTTTATGATTATGTGTCTTTTATGATTATGTGTTGTAAGGAAATACTTATATTGACAGGGTGCATTGATAATTGCTCATAAAATCTTTTAAAGTTACAAGGGTGAAGAAAGGAAAAAAGTACGGTAAAAGTTATAGACTCTTAATTATTACATGTTAAAAGGTACATAGGTATTTCCTAAAAGACAAATTTCATGAGGATATAAATGAACCGCGTCATGACAAAACCAACATAATGTGTTTGCGACCAGCATGGATCCAGACCAGCCTGCATGTCCGCGCAGTCTGATCAGGATCCATGCTGTTCGCTTACAAACTCTATTACAAATAGAAAAACTGATAGCGAACAGCATGGATCCTGATCAGACTGCGCGGATGCACAGGCTGGTCTGGATCCATGCTGGTCGCAAACGCATTATGTTGGTTTTGTCATGACGCGGCTCAAATGTTGTTAGCTTAATTGATCTCACATGTGTTCAATAAGTTCTGTGATATTTTTTACTATGTAGCAGTTGTGACTGTTAGCTTGGTGCACATTTTTCTTGACATTTAATTTCCAATCAAACTCAGTTTCATTTTTCAAATTGTAGCACATGTAGAGGTAAATAAAAATGAAATCAAAGACCTTTAACCCTTTCACTGCCATAGGGACGGCTTCTGTCGTCCCTGTTATTTTCGGCGTATTTGCCATATGAACGGCTTTAGCCGTTTCTATAATAATAATAGTAATAATAATAAATTAATAATAATAATAAAAAAATAATAATAAATATAAAGAAAATTATACCATCGACAATAATTATTATTATACTAACAGATTTGGAAACATATATAATTATTATAATAATAATAACAAATAATAATAATTATATTAATTAATAATATAGTAATTTCTTAGAAAACCCTCTGGCAAATAGGTGATCAATAAAACAATAACCCTCTGGCAGCGAAAGGGTTAAGTCTTATTTAATATCTTGTGATAAAAGACAATTATCTTATCTGACATCAGCTGCAGAATTTTTTCTTTCCATTTGCCCATCCTGTTAATGCATGCAAGCATTTACCATGACACAACAGTAACTATAATTCATATTTATATCAATGCATTAGCCGAGACTGGTTTGTAAAATGTGTGCATGATCAAATATCAAGTAAATACATGTACGAGTATAATAACCTTTGGAAGTTTGCAGCAATCTGGTAAAACTGTTCCTATGCCGGCATTTACCTAGGACACAAGATGGTTTACTTGGTTCTATCAAGATTGGAATGATAAAAAAGCAAGATTACAGAATTAAAATGTCAGAAATTAACATCACAATTTTACTGACATTGGCCATTTCAATGATTATGATTCTATAAATGTATGTTTAAGATCCTGGAACTCCATTTTTATGCTCCCCATGATAAAAGCAGAGGGGGAGAAATGATGTTCATAGTTTATGTAATTGCTCTATTAACATACACAATGTAAATGCAAAATATTGACCTAACTTGTCTTGAAAGGAGTTATGTATATGATATTTTTATCCCTTCACTTTACTACCTATATTTCAAGAGTTCTTTCCCCTTTGGTCTAAATTTTTTCAAAGTTTTTATTTTATCATTGTAATTTTTGGGATCATTAACTTAATTTTTGATCATCACCAACGTCATATATGACAAGGCTCATAACTCTAGCATCTTTTCCATAATAGTGATCACTAATATTTCTATATAAATTTCCCTGATAATTCCCCCTGACTCCACTTTATAAGTTGATGAAGCTTTTCTTAAGTGGTTAAGGTGTCTGCCTCTCTACCCAGGGATTGTGGATTCGAGCCAGAGTCGGGTCATGCTGCAATTACTGGTACTGGTAAAAGTGGTATTGCGAGTACCGAGGCAGTACTTTGGTTGTCATAAATTATAGCATTTTTATTCCTTTTCGAGGAAATAAATGAAATTGTACTAAATGAAAAAAATGTAGCTCGAGAATACAAATTGATGATAAGACTAAATTTAATCTATTTTGTTGTAGTTTTTATGTGTGTCTGTAAAAAGCAATAAAAGGTGTGACGATGTTCGTGAAGCTAGCCAGACAACTGGAACAGCCGAAACACTTTTTGTCAGAGATGATTCAGTGAAACATGTGCAAAAGATCATCAGTTATTTCATAATGTAATTTCATATTAGTTATTACCTCAATTTCTGGCCATCATGGCCCTCTTGTATACAAAAAAAGAGAAAATAAAAAAATCAACTAAAGTTATGTTTTTACTTTTTTTATTTCATTTTATTTCTTCATACATTTTCTATATTTATCAGTGATATAAACTTACATTGAAAAGTACTACTTTGGAAATGGCTTAAACTTTTTCGATTTCTGAAAAACTAGTAACAAAACTTCATGCTTCATAATGCTTCAATAATACTAGTCAATTCTTCTACAGTAAAGTAAGTAACATATTATATTTCTAAGTTATAAAGTAAGTTTAGATCATTAACATATCACAGTTATTATTTATTAATATTTATAAAATATATAATACAAAACAGTGTAAACCATGTAAACAAAACAAATACGAAAACAACAATATATAAAAAGAATAATCAACCAAGGAAATATGAATTAACGAGTAATACACGTCAACACCAGAGAAAAGAATAGTTCAGTACCAAGGGGTTGGTATATAAATAGTTTCCAGATTTTTTTTAGATATTTCTAACATTGTCAAATGCTGCTATAACTGGCTAAGTATATTTACGAGGGTTGTCCTAGGAAATTGTGGACTGCTCGAACTTACACATATTCATCGTAAATCATGTCTGTGTTAAATCATTAAAAATAAGAATTCGAAAAAAAGCAAGAACAAAAGGTCAATAAATGAATTTAGCCAGACTCAAATTTTCATATTTCCTATGAAAGAAATCATTAAGGGTGATATTATTTTTCTCAAGTTTTTTTTTACACAGAATTTACTGTTAAGTACAATGACACTTGATAATCTTCTACAGCCCAGGCTTTGATAAGCCAGTAAATAAGGAAAATAAAAGTAATGACAAAATTTTGTACATAAATAAAACTGTTTTCTGTTTTGCTTTTTTAATTTAGTTGTTGAACATTTTTTGTCTAAATTCATCAGAGGATTCTTCACTTAATGATAGTAAAACAAGTTAAATAAAATGTCTATGGAGTTCACTAGATTTTTTTGTAGGTTTGTGCTTCAGGTGTGTCGAATGGTAGCAAGTTTCCAGGTTCATGTATCAGATCTACAATAAATGTCTTTGGTGGGAACTTTGGTGCACCAGGCTGGAAAAACCCCCCAAAACATTGTAAAATTAGAATAACCATTACAGACTTCAAGATAATTTTCATGCAAAAGCTGGTATAAAATACCACATGTGTTTTGTTGACACTTCTAAAAGAGCTGCCCTTTAAGGTATTCATTCAATCATTTAAGACAATTTTCATTCTAATTTTGGTGAAAATATAACTTTTAGTATTAAGACGGTATGAGCATATATTTTTTATCTACATTTAAATACACTATTTACTTTAATAAATGTATACATGTGTATAATAATTTATCCAGCTTCATGTGTTGCTTTTGTAAAATAAAAATATTGAGCTACATCTGTAAACAAAAAGTTTTCTCTTTTCCATACTTCAGGCTATGCTTTTGATCTATGATCATCAATCTTATACTGGTATTAAGAATTCATTTCAACACCACTTATTTTCAAAAACCAATGTTAATTGTGACCGTTTCTTAGGTAATACTGGAAATATCTCAAAAGTAGAACTGCTGCATTTGGAGACTGGGTCAAAGGTTATAAATTAAAAACTAGATACAAGTCTACAAAAAAGCTAGAATCTGATTGGTTGATTTTTGAGTATAGATGATCAAACTGGCCAATGGTAGCCGTTTTTATTTCATAACCTTAGACCCTGTTCTCTAAGCTTGCCCTTGTTCCAAAATTAATAGACTTATTCAAAGATTTTGCAGGACAAAAGGT